AATGACCTTCCTCCATCAAGCTCAGAACGCCTAGCATACACACAACCCTTTTTCTTGTAGTACTAAAACAAGCCAAAATAAAAAACAATCACATGGTCACATAGACTAGAGTTTTGGAGCCAGATATGTATCACAAGCCATGTAGTTTATTTATTTATGGTGTTTTCCCCCCATTGCTTCTGTACATCCTAGGAGACAAAAGTGGATATTAGATTCCTTAATGCTGAAGTTACGGGCAGTTGTGAGCTGCCCAGTGTGGATGCTATGAACTGAACTTGAGAACCAGAGTAGCAAGTGCTCTTGACCATTGAACCACCTCTCCAGTCCACAGTTTTGAAGGAACAGGGACTTACATCTAGCCAGGCTGGTCTAGAACTCATTATGTAGCAAGGCTGACCCTGAAATCCTATTTCTCATCAGGCACGAGGATGTGTGGTTTAATCCCAGCACTCTGGAGGCAGAGGCGATGGGAGCACCTCTACATATGCCTGTGTGTGCACATTCATGCATGTATGCATGCGCACATTTAAGTAAATGTTACTTTAAAAAATTAAGGGGCTAGGCAGAGCGCTGTATACATAATAAAAAATAAATATTTAAAAAGAAAAGAAAATCAAGGGGCTGGAGAGATGGCTCAGCAGTTGATAGCACATATTCTCATAGAGTAATTGAGTTCAATTCCCAGCACTCATAAGGTGACTTACAACTTCATGTAACTCTAGTTCCAGGGAACCTACCACTCTCTTCTGCCATCCACTGGCCTAAAACATGGGAAATAACGGAGGCTGGTCTTGAACTCTTTTTGTTTTGTCTTGTTTTCAGGACAGAGTTTTTCTGAGTAGTCCTGCCTGTCCTGGAACCCTCCTATGTAGACCAGGCTGGCTTCAAAGTCAGGTCTGCCTCCCGAGTGCTGAAATAGGACTGTGCCATTTCTGCCCACCTGACCTGAACTCTTGATTTTCCAGCTTCTACCTTGCAAGCACTTGCTGCTGTGCCTGTTTCTGCTTCTGTTTTAGCTGTTGTGAATAATGCTGTTAACGGGGATGACTATAGTAATATAAATATCTTTTCTAGAGGCTGTCTTTCAGTCAGGTGACAGATAATTTTATAAGTGAGAAAATAGTCATTTGTCCCAGGTGTTATGTAGCTGGTTAGTGGTAGAAAAACAGCTGTAGCTAGACGTGATAGCCCACCCGTAATCCCAGGACTCAGCAAGTGGAGACAATAGTTCAGGGGTCAGCTTGTTATATGTGAGACCTTGTTTTCAAATAAATAATAAGGCAATTGAGCTCCTAACATGATTTTGAAAATCTTTTTCTCTCTTCTTCTCCCCACTTGCCCATTTTTTACCACAAAGGGTCTCCAGAATGTTTAGCAGTTTTAGACCAAACTTTGAGACCTATTTAAAAGACCATGGATATAGTACTCTAATCCCAGCATTCTGGAGACTGAGGAAGGCAGATTGGCGCAAGCTCCAGATCAACTTGGGCAACATAGTAAGTTCAAGACTATCCTGGGATACATAGTGAAACCTTGTCCAATCTCCCCTCAAGGTAAAGAGTTGATGTTTTATTGTTAAGAACAGGAAGAGGCCATTAAGAGTTTTAAATTAATTTCTGATAGGACCCATTTTAAAGTTTAAATCAGCTAGATTGGAAGGGGTCAGTTCTGAATGAAGCAGGAAGAATAGTTAGGGACTAGTTGTTGCCGTTCATGACAATGTCTACGATATCACCAGTGGGGGAGGGATATGGATGTCTTGTGAAATATTTTGGAGTTGGACTGTCAGCATTTACTCTGATGTGTTTTGTTTCAGAAGGTTATGTGTTGATTGTAGAGACACCATAGTACAGTTGTGTTAGTGGCTGGAGCTAGAGAGACCTGAGTTTCCATCTTAGGAGAACCATTATTAGGAGTATGAAAAGTTGACAGTGCTCTGTCTCAGACAGACAGACACGCATGCATGCATGCACGTACACGCAAACAAAGTGAGGAGGATTATATATGAGTAAGAAGATTAGAGCTAACTTATTTCATGACAGTCTTGGACTTATCTGGACTCTGACTGTGGTAATAAATGTTCGGCCAGGATGCTAATACTATATAATGTTAAAAGCTTGAGATCAGCTACACTGTGGCAGAGGTAGCCTCTCTAAGAAGGCAGGGTATTTGTCATTTCTCTCTATGTGAAAAATATTACCTTGATGGAGACTTGAAACAGATGGTGTACAGTTGGAGTAGATTCTGTTATTCCAAATAAACATTTGCTGGAACTGGGGTACAGCAATCCATATTTCACTTTTCCCTATTTACATTATCAGGTTAGCTGTGTTGCTGCTGCTTTTACTTGCATTAAGGTTATCAACAGGCTTTGATGTTGGCAGGCTGATTACAACATGTCTTTAAATATTAAAATGATCACCACTGGAAGAAACCCTTTAGTTTCCTATCCTCCGCACTCAGTAACATAATGACTGTCAACACATTCTTACCTGAGCACTAGCTAAGAGTTCTGTGTGTGGATGGTCAAACAACACTTTGTCATCTGTTAATGTTAAACGCCTGCTCACTGGAATGACTTCTCAGGTTCTGTTATAGCTAATCAGCAAGCATTAAAATCAGGCAGGCACATCTTCCATATTCCAGATCAGTGTTGTCTTCCATGGGAGCCTTGTCTGCTCTGAAAGAGTGACCTAAAACCCGGAATCCTCAACCCTCCTAGTAGCATTATACGTATGCCCCACCATGCCCAGGTGACACTTGCCCTTTCATCTTGGCAACCAACAAACCTTTTACTTATATTATTATTCTGTTTTGGCTAAGAGGTACTTTTAAATTGAGGAAAAAAGGAAAATTTCATGGTTTTCATCTCATGTAGTCCAGATTATTAGCTCAAATACCCATTGTAGTTGAGGACTTTGAACTTCTAATTTTCTTGCTTCCTTCTAAATCCTGGGGATAGGGGGCAGTATATGTGTGTACTTTTGTGTATGTTAGATGAGGTTTCTACTGAGCAATATCCCAAGTTGCAAATGAACTCTTTTGGGTTTTTTTTGTTTGTTTGTTTGTTTGTTTGTTTTTGGTTTGTTTTTTTTTTTTGGTTTTTTCGAGACAGGGTTTCTCTGTAGCTTTGGAGCCTGTCCTGAAACTCCCTTTGTAGACCAGGCTGGCCTCAAACTCACAGAGATCCACCTGCCTCTGCCTCCCGAGTGCTGGGATTACAGGCGTGCTCCACCACCGCCCGGCTGGTTTTTCAAGATAGGGTTTCTCTGTTTAACAGTCTTAACTGTCCTGGAACTTACTCTGTAGACCAGGCTGTTTACTCAAAGAGATCCGCCTGTCTCTGCCTCTGAGTGCTGGAATGAAAGGTTTGTGCCACCACCCGGTGGTAAATTAACTCTTATCTGGCCTGAAATTACTATTGCTATTGTGCTTGTCCATGTCGTTGTAGAGTAAGATTTTTGTGTAGTCTTTCATGGTTTTAATCGTTTGTAAAAGAGAACATTTTTCCATCCTTGTTCCTGTGCTTTTTTTTAAATGCTTTGGCACATGTGGGGTAGAGTTTTAGACAAGGTCTCATTGTAGACCACGATGGCTTTCAACTCTCAACATAGCCAAGGATGCTCTTGAACTCCTGTTTTTACTGTTTAACTAATAAACACTAATTTAATTGGTCTTAATAATAAAAACCTGGAGTCAGATATTGGGGGGTAAAAGCTGAAAGGTTAGAGAAGCAGAGCAGCCAGCCTCTAGTTCTTACCTTTACAAGATCCTCAGACTCAATAGGGTAGTCTGTCTCTTCCCGCCTTATATTCCTCTCTTCCCCAACCACATCACTTCCCATCTCTACCTCCCTAGTGCAGTATTAAAGGTGTGAGCCACTACCGCCCTGCTCTGTTTCTCTTTTAGATGGATTCAATCTTGTGTAGCCCAGGGTTGAACTGCCTTGAACTGCTGATCTTTTTTTGCTTTGTCCTTCCAAGTGCTGGGATTAAAGGTGTGTGCCACCACTGCCTGGCTTGTGTGACTGGCTAATGTGGGGTAGCTCCACCCTCTGGTCTCCAGGCATGCTTTATTTAGTAAAGCACAGCAAAGTATCACTACAGGTATAGGTCTTCATTACCACACCTCCAGAAATGTCTGAGTGGGTAAGAATGCTTGCTGCTGAAGAATGAGGACTTTTTGGGATCTCTATCTCAGCACCAATGGGGAAACCTGGGTGTGGCCACACTCACTTGTAATTCTTCCAAAGTGTGAGTGCTGGAAATTGAACTCAGGACCTCTGGAAGAGCAACAAGTAAATGTGTAATAGTTAGGGGTGTGGGGGAATAGAGACAGGAAGATCACTGTGTGTGGTTTCTAGCCACTAGCCTGATTCTAGGTTCAGTGGGACGCCCTGTCCCAAAGGAATAAAATAAAGGATTTTGGATGCCCCCTTGGCTTCCTCATGTGAACATCCAGGTGTGTGTGTGTGTGTGTGTGCGCGCGCATACACGTACATAGACACAAATAAAATACATTTTTTAAAAAAGTATATAAGTTTTAAAAGGTACTTTAGAGCTGGAAAGATTGCTCAGCAGGTTAAAAACTGCTGTGTATTAAGTCTAATAGTCTGAGTTCAATTTCTTGAACCCACCTGGTAGAAAAAGAAAATGGATTCCCTGTGTTCTCCTCTGACCTATACACACACAAAGTGAGGGGTTTTCATGTATTTTCAGACAGTCTTACTATGTATTCCTGGCTGTCCTGGAACTCAGAGTGATCTGCCTGCTTCTAAACTAAGATTTTTTTTTATTTATTTATTATGGGTACAATATTCTGTTTACATATATGCCTGCAGGCTAGAAGAGGACACCAGACCTCATTATAGATGGTTGTGAGCCACCATGTGGTTGCTGGGAATCGAACTCGGGTCCTTTGGAAGAGCACGCAATGCTCTTAACCGCTGAGCCATCTCTGCAGCCCCTAAGGTTTTTTTTTTTTTTTTTTTTTTTAAAAAGATTTATTTATCTGGATGTACATCTGCACAGTAGAAGAGAGCCTTGGATCTCATGGACTGTTGTGATCTGTCATGTCATTGCTGGGAATTGAACTCAGGAATTTTGGAAGAGCAACCAGTAAGCTCTGGTCCACCTCCGCTTTTCTAGAAAAACCCAAGGCCAGAAAGAATGTCTCCTCTGCCAGGCGGCTAGAAGGATTGCACAGAAATTTTAAGAAGGTATTTATTACTAATATGTCTGGTCCTTATAATAATGTAAACAGATGGCATAAATTGTTGTGGTGCTTTCTATTATTTACATTTCCAGTGCTTATAGGCCAGCAAACAATCCTGTTAGCTTGGTTCCCATGTGTTCCTTCCCTCCCCTTCCCCATATATGTCCCTGGCTGCTGTTTTTCATGTACTTCTTTAGCATCTTCTTTGTCATCTTAAATTGGAATCCTGGAGCTCAGTCCTCAGACCTATTCTTTGCTCACTCCATCCAAAATACCTGCTCTCAAGCTTTAAAAATTATCTGTATACTTATCATCAGTTGACAGCCCTTAATCCAAAGCTCAGACTCCTATCCCAGGTCAGTCTACACTGTAATGGAAATTAATATTTTTAGGTACCCGAGAAAACCATGTAAAAGCACAGGAAACGCTGGCTGGCTGGCTGAAATCCACAGAGAAGGCCACAGAAGACCTTGCTTGTTTAGATAGAGTTTCTCTGTATAGCTCTGGCTATCCTGGAACTCACTCTGTAGACCTGGCTGGCCTCACACTCACCAAGTGTTGGGTGGGATTAAAGGCCTGCACCACCATACCTGGCCTTTCTTTCCTTTCAATAATAATAATAATAATAATAACCTTTATTTTTATTTTCTGTGTATGAGCGTTTTACCTACATGTCTGTGTGGGCACTTTGATTGTACCTGGTATCTGAGGAAGCTAAAAGAGGGTTATCATCCCCTGAACTAGATAGAGTTAGAGAGAATTGTTAGCCACCATGTGGGTGCTGGGAATTGAACCTGGGACCGCTTAAAAAAAAAAAAACCAGCAAGCATTCTTAACTTCTGAACCATCTCCTAGCCTCCACATCCGCCCTTTCCCTCTCCCCCTCTCCCTTTTCTGTCTTACTCATCCTTTCCTTGTGAATTGGCTGTCTTAAAGGGCTTTGCTTTAGACCAGTGGTTCTCAAGCTTCCCTTTACAGTTCTTCATGTTGTGGTGACCCCAACCATAAAATTATTTCATTACTGCTTCATAACTGTGATCTTGCTACTGTAGTGAATGGTAATATTAGTAAATATCTGATATGCAAGACCCTGAAATGGATCACGACTTACAAATTGAGAACCACTGGTTTAGATTGAAGACTTGGCTAGAGGTGGTTAAATGTGAATCTCCAGAATTAGGAGCTGCAAATGACAGCAAAGAAGTATAAAGCCAAGTTTTCCATGGGATAGTTATAGACAGATTGCAGAACTTGCAAAATGATGAAATCTGGAATCTGGACGTTTGTAAAAATGTTATTTTTTCATCTTTGGCTTTGTGACATATACAAAGGAATAGATTAGTGGCTTGAAAAAGGGTACTTAGTATATAATACCATCTATTTTTCATTGAGCATAAAGTAAAAGCAGGAAAAAAACCAAAACAGAACAAAAACAGAAGAAGCTGGGTGTAACGGTACACACCTTTTTATGTCAGCACTCAGGCCAGCCTGGGACCTTATGAGTTTATGTTAACTCAGGCGGATCAGAAGTTGAAAGCTTCCTTTTAGATAGTATGTTCCAGACCAGCCTGGGACCCACAGGATGCTCTCTCAAAAATACAATAAAATAAAACTTAATTAATTAAAATTCAGTTGGGCCTGGAGACATGGCTCAATAAGGTTAAGAGTGCACAGTGCCCTTGCAGACAATCACAGCTCACAGCACCCACATCAAGCCTGTCATTCTGGTTCTAAGGCCTGTTTGGGCAGAGGAGGATATACCTGTACACACATAAGTGTAAAAATAAAGTAATAAATTCTTTAAAAAATTAGTAATTTCTTTTATATCCTTGATGCTGATAACTTCCAGTTCTAAGCTGAAGTGTTCTTTTATTTCCAAACTTCTGAATTGAACTATCTACTGGGAGCATACTGGTTTAGAGTGAGCATAAAAATTTAATATCCTACAGGCAGAGTGGCACACATCTTTAATCTCAGCACTTAGAAGGCAGAGGGCATCTCTGTGAGTTTGAGGCCAGCTTGATCTACAGAATGAGTCCCTGGACAAAAAAAAAGAAGAAAAAAGGTCCCATACTGAATACATAATTTCTTTCCTCAAATATACTTTACTACTAGTGTTCTCTGTCTTGGTCAATAATTCCACCTTGATGTACATTCCCCCTCCCCCCCAATCATCTTATCAATTATCAAATTCTCTATATTCTAATTTTAAGAAATTTTTAAATTCACCCTCCCAATCCATTCGTATTGTTGCACTTTCTCAGGAGTTGCTGTACGACACAACGTGAAACTCACACATGGCCATCTTGCATCACAGGCTTATCATCTCCCCATCAGAAACAGTGATGTTTTCTTTTCCTTTGTTTTAGATTCCTTCCTTCCTTCTTTAGACAGAGTCTCCCCATTTGTTTTTTTAGAGTAATTTATTATTTTGTGTGTATTATTTTTGCTTGCATGTATGTGTATGCATTGCATGCCTTGTGTCCACAGAGTTCAGAAGAGGATGTCAGATCCCCAGGAAGTGCAGTTTTGGATGGTTGTGAACCATCGTGTAGGTGCTGGAACCAAACCCTGGTCCCCTGAAAAAGCAACAAGTATTGTGCTTTTTTTTTTATTTTAATGATATTTATTGAGCTCTACATTTTCTCTGCTCCCATCCCTGTCTCTCCCCTCCCCCCTTCAATCCTTTCCCAAGGTCCCATGGTCCCAATTTACTCAGGAGATCTTGTCTTTTTCTAATTTCTATTTCCCATGTAGATTAGATCTATGTAAGTCTCTCTTAATGTCCGCATTGTTGTCTAAGTTCTCTGGGATTGTGGTTTGTAGGCTGACTTTCTTTGCTTTATGTTTAAAAACCACCTATGAGTGAGTACATGTAATAATTGTCTTTCTGTGTCTGGGTTACCTCACTCAAAACTAATGCTTTCTAGCTCCATCGATTTTCCTGCAAAATTTAAGCTGTCGTTATTTTTTTCTGCTGTGTAGAAATGTACCATTGTGTAAATGTACCACATTTTCCTCATCCATTCTTCAGTCGAGGGGCATTTAGATTGTTTCCACGTTCTGGCTATGACAAACAAAGCTGTTATGAACATAGTTGAGCACATGTCCTTGTGGCATGATTGAGCATCCTTTGGATATATACCCAAAAGTAGTATTACTGGGTCTTGAGGAAGGTTGTTTCCTAATTTTCTGAGAAATTGCCACACTGACATTCAAAGGGGTTGTACCAGTTTATATTCCCACCAGCAGAAGTGTTCCCTTTTCCCCACAACTTCTCCAGCATAAATTATCATCAGTGTTTTTGATCTTGGCCATTCTTACAGGTGTAAGATAGAATCTCAGAGTTGTTTTGATTTGCATTTCTCTGATGACTAAGGATGTCGGCCATTTCCTTAAGTGTCTTTCAGCCATTTTAGATTCCTCTGTTGAGAGTTCTCTGTTTAGGTCTGTAATCCATTTTTTTATTGGATTATTTGATCTTTTGATGATCAATTTATTGAGTTCTTTGTATATTTTGGAGATCAGACCTCTGTCTGATGTGGGCTTGGTGAAGATCTTTTCCCATTCTGTAGGCTGTCGTTTTGTCTTGTTGTCTGTGTCCTTTTCTTTACAGAAGCTTTTCAGTTTCAGGAGGTCCCATTTATTAATTGTTTCTCTCAGTGTCTTTGCTGCTGGGGTTATATTTAGGAAGTGGTTCCCTGTGCCAATGCGTTCAAGTGTACTTCCCACTTTCTCTATGTTGAGTTCTTGGATCCATTTGGATTTGAGGTTTGTTCATGATGATAGATATGGGTCTATCTACATTTTTTTACATGTTGCTATCCAATTATGCCAGCACCACTTGTTAAATATTCTTTTTTCCATTTTATATTTTTTACTTTTTTTTTTTTATCAAAGATCAGGTATTCGAAGATGTGTGGATTGCTATCCGAGTCTTGTATTTGGTTCCGTTGGTCCTCCTGTCTGTTCTTACGCCAATACCAAGTACTGTGCTTTTAACTGCACAGCCAGCTTTCCAGCCTCTACTCGTTTTTATTGTATATGTCTAGGTTTTGCTTGTATGTACATTTGTGCACCACGTGTTTGCTTGATACCTGTGGAGACCAGAAGAGTGCATTGGATCCCTGGGCTGGCAATTCAAACCCAGGTCCTGAAAGAGCAGCTAAAGTGTGCTTAACCTCTGAGCCGTCTCTCTAGCCCTGTCTTTGATTTTCATAGCTTTCCTTTTACGTGCTTTTTATTGTCTTTCATTTACTTGTGTTGAAAAACAAGCCCTAGAAAGGTGAAATTATTTGCTAAATTTCATGTAGGTCATGAGTAACAGAAGATGACATCAAACCAGCCCTTTCACTTTCCTTATCTTCATTACTATTTGAAACTAGGAATGACAGTAAGGGTGCTGGTCTGTGGACAGTAGGGTAAACAAGAAGTGAGTAACTGTTCTTTAAGCTGAGTTTTCAGAAGGTGGAGCATGCAGCTCACTGTTCCTGAGTTGGGCTCACCTATCTTTGTAGCCCTGGACAAGTGCTGAATGTTACAACGTTATCTGTTTGGCTGCTAAGACCTCCTCCAGCCTTTGGCACCCTTGCTGTAAAGACAGGTGGTCTGCAAAAGATGCCCTCCGGGTTGATGCACACTGTACATAACATAACAGTGTGAGACAACTGTCAGTCCCTTCCTTCTCTTCTCCCCTATACCCTCCAGAAAGCTGGGCCCCAGATGGAAGAGCTGGAAACATGTCAACTGTTCTCTGAAGGGCATTGAGAAAACACTGGCAGGAAGAAAAAGGCAAGCGCAACAGTTCATTAGTCCACTAATCAGATAGGACAACCATCAGTTTCACAAAGACAGCATCCTGACCAGGGACAGTGGGCAGTTTTACTTCTCAAAATGCTGTAGGTTCTGTTAGGGGTTTGTAACATGGGTGCTTGACTTCCTTGATACTTTTTATTGATATATCCCTTTCCAAAATAAAGCCACTGAAAATTGGAACATAGAATAGTATTTGGGGACATCTTTCCCATCAGAAAGTGTAGTGAATATGCTAAGATGTTCCTTGTGGTTTGCATGAGCATGCCAGAATATGTCATCTTTATAATTGTGATTCTACAAGAAAACTTTCCTTTTTACTTTCTCATTTAAACCTTTTCTGTGGTCTTTGCAGTTGAAATCGAAGTCAGTTGCTACTACAGTATTTAAGTAAAACAAAACAAAGCAACAGTTAATTACTGAGGGGCATATAGTTCGATAAGGTGAGCCTGTTATCCAGGTATTAATAGGTTCTTTTTTTGTGAAAAATAGTTCATTTTAAATGTTTTTGAGTCATGGTTTTGCCTCATTTAACCCAGAATATTTTATAGCTAGAGTCTGGCTTTGAGCTTCTGATCCTCCTGTTTCTACCTCCCCAGAGCTGCATTCACAGGCAGTATGCCATCGTGCCAGGTTTTATAATACTTTGGATTTTTCTTATGTGTTTTGCCTCCATGTGTGAGAGTTCAGAAAAAGCTCTGAGATTGTCTGAAACTGATATTAGAGATGGCTGTGAGTTAGGAACTGAACCTCTGTCCTCTGTAACCTCTGAGCTGTCTCTCCAATTCCCTTCCTTTTTCTCTCTTCTGTAACCTCTGAGCCATCTCTCCAATGCCCTTACTTTTTTTTTTCTTCATGTGCACTGGTATTTTGCTAGCATTTATATCTGTGGGGGTGTGTTGGGGCCTCTGGAACTGGAGTTACAGAGAGTTGTTAGCTGCCATGTGGGTGCTGGGAATTGAACCTAGACCATATTGAAGAGCAGCCAACCCACTGGTAGAGTGCCCTTAACTGCTGAGCCATCTCTCCAGTGTCCCTCTCCCCCATTTTTAAAGGTCATTTTCAAGGTGGCTCAGCTAGTACATATGTGTAAAATACTGAGCCTGACAACCTGAATTTGATCTCCTGGACATATTGTAGAAAGGAGAGAACTGACTCTGGCAAGTTCTGACCGCCATACATATCATGGCACGTGTACGCATGCTCATGAACTTGTGTCACACACACTCACACCAACCAACAAACAAATAAGTAAATATGTAGTTAGATTTTTTAAAGGTTCTTTCCCCAAATAAAGCAGCATTTACAGAGCTAGATGTTAGGATATGAACATCTCTCCAGGGAGTCTATGTTTTACCCTTTGTTATAAGTATCATCTTAACTTCTGAGTCCTCTAGGGAAATAGGCTCATTTCCAGTTGTTGTTGCTATTTATTATTTATAGAGAGCTTTGACCTTCTTTTTTTCTATTCTTTGCAGTTGGTTGTGAGAAAAGGGTGCCAGCAATGCCTGGATCGCCTGTGGAAGTGAAGATACAGTCAAGATCCTCACCTCCCATCATGCCACCCCTCCCACCAATAAATCCTGGAGGACCGAGGCCAGTGTCCTTTACTCCTACAGCATGTGAGACCTTTTAATTAAGTTGAACTCATGATTCAGAGTCATAATTTATATCTGAGTAACTGATTTGCATTAAACCTTCAATATACATCATTCAACATGACTAAAATATAAATAAGGGCGTGATATAGTAATGCATTCTTATTAATTATCTCAGTCTGTAATCGCCACACTCAGAGGATCAAGCGCTCTAGGCCACCCCTATGGTGTTGCATGTGCCTTTGATCCTGGCCCGTGGGAGACAGAAACAAGTGGCTCTCAGTGAGTTTGAGGCCAGTCTGGTCTATAGAGTGAATTCCAGGCCCATTGAGCTACTTAGTAACACCCTATCTCCAAAAAAGTAAGGGAGGGGGCTGTTTAATGTGACCTCCAAAAATAATAAAGATCGGCATGATTTTTATTTATTTGTGACAGAGTCTCACTATGTAGCTGGGTATATTATAACTTGAAAAAAGTGAGAATGTGATCATACAATTTCATTTAAACACTGTGAAAAGCATATCTATACTGTGTAAAGCATATCTATATTGTCAGGGTGGTACAAGTGTAGTAATATTCTGGTTTTTGTGGGGTGCTTCAAAGAGGGCAGCCCTGATCAGGATGGATCTTTCTGTGGAAACAGAAATGAAAGGTGATAGCAGCTTATTTTCTAGACTGGTGAGGGTAAGTGTGGAGCTCTCCTTTCTAGGAGTTTTTGTAATCTCCTTGAATGGAAAATAGAATTATCCTCCCCTTTTTACTCAGCCCGTTAGTTTTCTTGAAAACCTACCATTTGTTAGGGGAAGATGAATAAAGCAAAAGAATATACAGCAGATAGCTCAGCAGGTGAAGGTGCCCGTTACCAAGACTGACGACTTGAGTTTGGTCCCCAGGACCCATGTTGTAGGAGGAAGAGAACCAACTCCTGCAAATTGTCTTCTGACCTCCACATTCACTATGACAGGTATACACACTTGTGTGTACCTGCACACAATATAAATGTATTGATAGTTTGCAGAAACCTAGTAATATCTATGCATATGTTATGTGGTAAGTGAACGCATCAAGCAGTCTCACCTTTTGTGGTAACATATGTTAGTAGTGCTTGAGGGAGAAGGGAAATGGAAGGCTGAGGCAGAAAGAACTCTAGTTCTAGGCCTGTCTCAGAAAGCAAAAACGAAACGAGGAAGACCAGTCTACTACGTGATCGCAAATATACACAGAAAAGAAGTAAAATAGTGGTCGTGTGTGTGCGGATTTCTGGAACTCACTGTGTGGACCAGGCTGACCTCAAATTTAGAGATCCACCCTACTTTGCCTCTGAGTGTTGGGATTCAAGGAGTACACTGCTACATCCAGCACAGCTTGATTAACTCGGTTAGGGTTTACCTTGAAATAAAGCAGCACCATCCTATACCAAAGAAAACTCTTCTTACAAATAATAGCTGAGCTGTATAAGATAGAAAAGTGTTTTCTGGTTCATATTTGAATGCTGGTCTGTCCAGGAAGAAGGGGCAGAGATGGAGAAGTGACTGTTTGAGGAGGGATGTATGACCGAGTTTATGGTAGTTTTATTAACTCAGAGGTTAAAGGGTTAGTCTTTTAAAACACAGCTGAAGTCTTTAATTGTTGCTTGCTTTATATTTGTTTTGATGTGTAGTCTCATGTAGTTCAGACTGGTATTGAACTCTTTACAGCCCAGCGTGATCTTGAACTCTTGATGTTTCTGCCTCTACCTTCCAAGTATTGGTGGGATCATAGAAATGTGCCCCCATGCCCTGCTTTTGTTTTGATGTTTTTCTAAGATAGGGTCTCACTCTATAGCTCAGGCTGGCTTCCAAACTGGAATTCTCGTAAGTCTGTCTCCTAAGTACTGGTGGCATCACTGGTTTGAGCCCGCTACACCCACCATATTTGCGTTTTTTTTTTTTTAATAACAATTTATCTTTCCCTCCCCTCAGAAAACAGGAATACTGATTGTGTTTATCAAAATTTGATCAAAAGTAAAGAATTGGAGATCCTTCGTAGAGTTTAAATAGTGCCCCCCCCCTCCCCGTCCTTTTTCTTCTTTTTTGGGTATGTGGGGGTCTTGATATGCTGGTTTTAACCTCTTGGGCCCAAGTGACTCTTCTGACTCAATCTGTAGAGTAGCTAGGAACATTCTAATTTTAGAAGGTATTTTCTCTGAATGACCAAGAATTTTGCATTGTTTACCAATCTGTGTCAAGACAAGGGGAAAACTAAAGGACATTAGTATTTTGAATGGTCAAAGAGTTATATATTTTTATGAGAATTAGGTCATAAAGATAGAACCTGAAAAATGTCTTTGACATTAGTATAATTCTTTTTCTCTAATGGTATTTCTCATGTGCTAACTTGTGACTGGTTGCTTGGTTTCTTTGAGATTCTTGGAACATTTGTGAAGTGAACAGAAAGCTGGATGTGGTGGGTCACACCTACAATAATGGCAATCTGGAGGCCAGTGCAGGAGAATTGTAGCAAGTTGAAGGCTACTGTGCAAGACTCTGTCTAAGAAAAAGAAAGAAAAGGAGGTTCTGAGGGAGATGACTCAGGGATTAAGTGCTCTTTTTGGTCTTGCAGAGGACTGGGGTTTGGCATGGCAACTGACAACTGTCTGTTAATTCAGTACCAAGAGATCCAACGTCCTCTTCTGACCTTCATGTGCACCAGACACACATGTGATACACAGATAAACATGCAGGCAAGACATTCATACACATAAAAATGAGATCTTAGGGGAAAAAAGTAAACATAGGAATTTCCAGTCAGTCTCTAGCCCACCTTAAGCACTGTTGTGTCTATAATTTAACTATAGCTCTTTCTGTGCCTATAATTTTTTTTTTCCCAAAAGGGGTTCAGAATAGCCAACTGTCCTTGAGCCCAATATCTTCCCTCACCCAAGTGCTGGGTTTACATGGGGGCATTACTGTAGCTTGCTTTTTTTTTTTTAAAAAGGAAAGATTTTATTTATTCATTATGTATCTAATATTCTACTTGTATGTCTGCCTGCATGCCAGAAGAGGACACCAGATCTTAGTATGGATGGTTGTGAGCCACCATATGGTTCCTGGGAATTGAACTCAGGACTTCTGGAAGAGCAGCCAATGCTCCTAACTGCTGAGCCATCTCTCCAGCCCCTGTAGATTGCTTTTTCTTATTCATAGTACTCTACAGTAATTGTGTGTGTGTTGTATCTGCTTGTTTGCTTTGTAAATGTTTTTATTTGTTCTTTAAGAATTTCCTGACAGTCTGTCTTGGTACACAACAATCTCATTGAGGGTAAAAATGAGTTTTTTATACTATAATGCCTTACAGAATTCAAATGAGTATTAAAAGAGATCATGAAGGTGAAGAAGTCAGCAAGGGCTCTTATGTTCTGTACTCAACTGATCTTATTCTGGCTTTCTTCTAGTAAGCAATGGCATCAACCATTCCCCTCCTACCCTGAATGGTGCTCCATCACCACCACAGAGATTTAGCAATGGCCCTGCCTCTTCCACATCATCTACCCTAACAAATCAACAGTTGCCAGCTACTTGTGGTGCTCGGCAGCTTAGCAAGTTGAAACGTTTTCTTACGACTCTGCAACAGTTTGGCAATGACATCTCACCTGAGATTGGCGAGAAGGTTCGGACTCTTGTTCTAGCATTGGTGGTAAGTGTGGCTTTACCTTCACCCACTGCTTAAGAAGTTATGATATTCCTGCTTATTCCCAAACCATGTAGGTATTATGAACTACATTAGTTTTACAAAATTTTTAAAAATTGTTGAATTACAGATTTCATAGAAGTATTTATTTGCCAAAGAATCTATAATGTGTCTTATTAGCTAAGGTACAGTTTTAATTCCAGTCAGTGGCTTTGGATTTGACCTAAGCAGCTTTCAGCAGGCCTGCTGCAGTCACACCAAGTTAATAGAAGCTTCTCTGTGTGTCAGCATATTCAGGAGCCTGGGGCATTATTTGCGAACCAATTTTAGTTTTCAAAACAGTATTTTGTCAAATTAGAAGTTCAATGTTCTAAATAAGTAGTTTCTATGCAGTCACTGTTGTTGAGCTCCATGTGCATGGTTTCTTTCGTTTTCCTGTACTGATCATAGTGAGCCTGCTCTAAAGGGTTAACTTTCTGTATTGCCATCTGATGAGACTGAATAATCTCAATTTATAAGGGAAGTGCTGCCAGTTCTTGTGTTTCCAAATGAAATACTCTTAAGATTCACTCCTGATAAAAACATTCTGAGCCGGGCGGTGGTGGCGCACGCCTTTAATTCCAGCACTTGGGAGGCAGAGGCAGGCGGATCTCTGTGAGTTCGAGACCAGCCTGGTCTACAGAGCTAGTTCCAGGACAGGCTCCAAAACCACAGAGAAACCCTGTCTCAAAAAACCAAAAAAAAAAAAAAAAAAAAAAAAAATCTGTTTTCTTTTCCACTAGTGCTAGTCCTTAAAGTGGATTTCCTCTCAAAATATAATTTAGCAAAACCCCTGGGGTTCTCCAGTATAATGGAGTGCAGGACATGGAACACAGTTGGCAGAGTACTTGCCCAGTATCCACAGCCCTGGGGACAGTCCCACTACTCTGGATATTTACACTGAAAGATCAGAAGTTCAAAATCATTCTGAGTTACGTAGTTTCAGTCCAGCAAGGCAGTGTATGAGACCCTCTCTCCATCGAAAACCAAACAGGGTCTGGTATAAGATCGCTGGTCTTGAACTCTGTGTATTCCAGGACCTTGAACTCTTGATCTCCTTCCTCTACCTCCTTAGTGCAAAGATTTCAGGCATGAGCTACCGTTATTTTGTTGTACTGCTTTATTATACCACACTTTATATATTTTGGCTTTTGATAAACATTTGAATTATTTATGCATTGGGGCAGTGTGTCAAGGGTCCCTATTGTCGCCCTATTTGTAGATTGATTCCTTTTTCCAGACTTGACATATGGTGGTGCTCACAGCTAACATTCATTCCAGAGGCATAATAAAAATAGATAGGCAGATTGTAAAGGAGATCGACATGGGCAGATTCTGGAGGAATCCATGTGCTGCCTTCCTTAATATTCTCCCCATCTCATCATCACACAGAATATACTCTCCCCAAAGCAAAGAAAATGTATGCAGTGCTTCTGCCCAAAGAATCCTGTAAAAACTCTGAATGTGGCTGGGTCTTATTAATCATCTATGCCTAGCTCATCTTATGGAATCCAGTGTAACAGTGATCCATTTCTATCACTTGGAGAAAGTATGAAGTTTTTTTCTATACATTTATTTATTCAGAGGAAACCTACTTATTAGTCAAAATTTAAACTATGATGAAATAGTTAACATTAAAGTGAGACTAAGTGAACCTTTTTTTAAGTTTATTTTTGTTGTATGTATATGAGTGTTCTGCTTGTATATATCTATGCACACCATGTGTGTTCGGTGTCAGAGGATGTCAGAAAGCATGTGTGTTGTGTCCCCTGGGACTGAAGTTACAGATCATTGTAAGCTGCTATGTGAGTGCTGGGAATTGTGTTCAGGAAGAGCAGCCAATACTCATACTATTGAGCCATCTTTTCAGCTCCAAGATATATTTATTTCTATGTTATGTATGTGGGTGTTCCACCTGCATGTGTGGATGTGCACCACAAGTGTGTAATGCTCGAAGAGCTAGAAGAGTGTGTTGTATCCTCAGGGTCTCCTTTGCTCGTGTTTAGTTGGTTTTCTTCAGCCTTTCCAGCTCTCACTTGCTCTGGTGCTGTATCTGTGGAGCTTAGTGGCTGTGAGAGCCCGTTGTGTCACTTTGAGGGTTGTGGTGCAGTAAATTGGCATTGTTGTGCCATTACTATCACCAGTACCACCACCACCATTCAACTTCAGAGCTATTTTCATCTAATTTTTTTTCTAGGTTATGTTTCATAACTCCAGCTAACTTTACTGTGTAGCTGAAGGTGACTTTTAACTACATATTTTTCTGCCTCTACCTTTCCAGTGCTGGGATTATAATCATGCACCACCATGTTCAGCTTATGTAGGACTAGGGATCATATTCAGGTCTTCATGTATGCCAGGCAAACACTCTACCAAACAGAGCTACACCCCAAACCTTTTCAAGGTTCAACAGTGATGTAATGAATGTGTTGTTGTTTTGTATTTTGTTTTCTGAGTCAAGGTTTCTCAGTGTAACAGTCCTGGCTGTCTTGGAACTCAATTTGTAGACCAGGCTGACCTAGAACTCACAGAGATCCCTTGCCTCTGCCTCCTAAGTGCTGAAATTAAGAGCATTGCACCAGGCTGAAAATGCATTTCTAAAGGTTAAGGCATTTTCTACTATCTGTGTATACAACATTTTATTTATCTATCTGTCCTGTATGAGGAACACTAGGTTGTTGCTTCTACCTTTTCAGTAAGGGAAAGTTTTATATCATTGTACAAGTTTTGCCATCCACATTCTCAGATCAGCTTATAGTCCGCTCATCCAGAAAGGCCTAGCTTTTCTTGTCCCTTTTCTTTCTACATATTTTTATTCTATTTTAATTTTTATTCATTAGTGTATGTGTGGGTATGGGTGTGTTCCAGAGTTCTGATGCCCTCTTCTGGCCTCTACATACATACAGTCAGGACGCATATACACTAAACAAAAATCTTTCGGTTTACAATGAGATGTTAGCAGTGAAGATTTAATGAATGGCCCGTTGAATATAACCTTTCTAGGGCTGGAGAGATGGCTCAGTGGTTAAGAGCACTGACTGCTCTTCCAGAGGTCCTGAGTTCAATTCCCAGCAACCACATGGTGGCTCACAGCCATCTGTGATGAGACCTGGCGCCCCCTTCTGGCTTGTGGGCATATATGGAAGGAATGCTGTACACATAATAAATAAATATTAAAAAAAAAGAATATAACCTTTCTAAGTTTTTGTTTATCTTAAAAAGGTTATAAAGTTATAGTTAGCTATAATTTTATGTGAATGAGTGCTTTGCTTCCTTGTAGGTCTGTGTACCACATGCATGTCTGGTTCTTTCAGAGATTAGAGAAAGGCACTAGATCCCCTTAAGACTGGAGTTTTAGCTGATTGTGAGCCACCATGTGTGCTGGGAATTGAACCAGTGTCTTAACTGATTAGCCGTGTATCCATCCCCTCTAATTGGTTTTTGCAACTTTGTTAGATTCTAATTTTAATCACAAAAAAAAATGTAACGCTATGCCTATTTTTTTATGTCTATTATTCCAGCATTCAGTTAGCTGTTCCAGACCAGCCTTAGTGCCTTCCCATCAAACAAAGTGTGGGGGACTATCTCTGTCCCTGCACTTTTTCTTCTAAGTGCATTGTAGATACTTCCTTGAGACTAAATCTCCTAACATCCTACCCTTTGGATTTTCTGTCTCCCCAAAATAACAATTTCTGAACCTTTAAACAAATTACTATATGTAAAGCCAGATGTAGTAGTGCACGCCTTTACTCCTTCCACTCTGGAGGCAGAGTCAGGAGGATCTCTTGAGTTTCAGTCAGCCAAGGCTACATAGTGAGGTCTCAAAAATCAAAACTAACAGATAGATGAAAACAGTACATTTATCTAATGTAAGTATGTGTACACTTTGTGCCACTGTGAATGCATGGAAGTCAGAGGACAGCTGCAGGAGATGGCTGGTTTGGCAGCAAGCATCTTTCCCCACTGAGTCATCTTACTATTACAAATACAAACAACTTTGTTGTCTGCTTTCCTGCTGAACTGTGCATTCTTTAGAGAGGGGGAAAACAACTAAACTAAACAAAAAGTAAATAGTTATGCTCTTTGTGCTGTAACAGTTGACTTGAAGGCAGTCAGTCTGGTATGACAGCTCATTCCTCTGAAATCCAGTCTGCCCTATTTTGTCCAAACATGTGGCCTTGAGTCTGTTCCTCTGGCATGAGTCATTTATTCTCTGCTCCAATCTGTATTATTTGTTCACCCATAGGGAAATTTTAGATCATTCCTTTGGTCTGTCCATACATTTAATCTCCTTCTTTTTGCTGTTGTACCAGTTTTGGATGTTGAACATTATTTGTCTTTTCAGAACTCAACAGTGACAATTGAAGAATTCCATTGCAAGCTCCAAGAGGCTACAAACTTTCCTCTTCGCCCATTTGTGATTCCATTTCTCAAGGTAATTCTTAATTCTGAGAGGCATTCATTTCAATTTGTCCTCAGCATTTCCTCAAGATCTGCTGACCTCTGCCCTGTGATCTCAGAACAGCTTGCTACAGTTCATATCTTTGTTTTATTTGGGCTGGTAGGCAAACAGCATGTAAATTAGCTTCATACATGATGAGAATTGCAGTTCTCTGAATGATTTCTGTTTGCAAACACTGTAGTTAGCATACAGGAGCAAGTAAAGGAATAAAGAAAACAAAGATGACTGAAATATGTAAGTGTGTGAAAGTGGAGGAAATACCACTAAATCCTCTGGGTGTGGTCTGAGGATGGAAAGTCTGTGTTCATAGCTGAGAGGAGGAGACCCCCTGCCCTTTACAAAGAGAGGCTTGGTAGTTGTGTCAGGAAGACAGTGTTTCCTCAAACCCCAGATAATACAGTCTAATTAATGTTATTTAGAATTAGTATTTCCTACATACCTTTTGGGCACCCAGTTCTAAATTACCATGCTTACTTTCTTAAAAGTGTTTTCATTTTGGAAGTAATTTTATGCTCACAGATAAGCTGTAAAAGGATATAATTTCAAACTAGTTTTCCTAAATTTCCAAATTAAGAATTTTCTTTTTTTCTTGGTACTAGGGATCCAGATTTGGGCTTCAAGCCTGCCAAATAAGTGCTTTCTCCAGGAGTTGTGTCCAGAGTCCTTAAATCAAGATGTTGACATTTAGACAACATTTGCTGTCTAGTGTACAGACTTTATTTATGTTTTCTAGTATCCCACTAATGTTCTTCACAGCAAAATTAAGCCTTTTTGTGTGTGGTTTAATAAATTGATATATTCCTCCATCATATTATCAGTCTAGTAAAGGGAGTTTGGAGTGGGGACCTCTCTTCCCTTATCATTCAAGACCAGAGACTGAGGAAAAGTCCAAAATCTTTAATCTGTGGCTTAATAAATGATTGAGTACAAACCCAGATAGCTGATGGCTGAGGGGTGAGGTAGAGGGAGAGAGCTAGAGAGAATGCTTGCATAAAGGGTTTTGAAGAAGCCAGTGTCTGTTTATGACTCTGTGTCTCTGCCCCCTCATTGTACAGGACTCAGTCACATGGTGCACCTAATTACAGCAGAGAATAGAAAATCTAGGCTAGATTGTAGGAGAAAAGAGCTTGTTACATGGCTCATCAGTTTCTGCCACAGGTGCTATTTAAGGGCTGCTGCTTTTCCTCTTCCCTACTGGCCTCTCTCACACAACTGTGGTCGGCATGGGGAGGCCCTTATGACCTCCCACTGTGGATCACAGACTAGTCTATGTGCTTTTTGCTCTTGCTTTTTTTTTTTTTTTTACTCTGCTAACATGAAGTTTCTGAAAAGGGCTGAACAGACAAGTAGTCACTGATAAGGAGCATAAGGAATAAATGTGGCATGGCACCAAAACACACAAATTCAAGATTCTTATCTGCCCAGAACACCGGTTCTATAGTGATATCTGCGCTTGATGCCCTTAGAAGACAAGAGCTTTTGTTTGGAAGACTTGGCACCATTAGTAATGCTTCTGCTGTGCAGATGCATTCTAAAAGACTTGTTGTTGTTCTGTTTTGTTTTTTGGAACAGGGTTTCTTCTGTGTAGCCTTGGCTACCCTTGAACTCACTCTGTAGACCAGACTAGCTAGCCTCATACTCACAGAGATCCACCTGCCTCTGCTTCCCTGGTGGTGGGATTAAAGGTGTGCACCATTATGCATCTGCTTCCCTAGTGAAGAACTGTGGTTTTTGTTGAACATGCATAGCATGATCCTGGGTCTGTAGTTAATCATGGTTACACATTGCATGCAGTATTAATCAGGAACAATTTCTCAACTTTTAATGAGTATTACTTTTTATTTTTAATGTGTATATGTACATGTGATTGTTGGTGCCTTTGAAGGCCAGAGGAAGTTGTTGGATTCCCTGGACCCGGCTTTACTGGTAGTTTCCAACCAGCTGGGTGCTGGGAATTTAACTTGAGTCCTCTTCAAGAACAGTGCTCTTTAAGTGTGAGCCATCTTTCCAGCCCCAAGAGCTTCATGGTTTAAAGGGCATTGATTGCAAAGAAGCTCAGCTTGCTTTTTTCTGGAACTTTCTCTCCTTCAAGCTTAAAGTCATTTGATAAATTTTAGTTAAGGATTGCAGATAGGTTAGTGTATGGTGCTGCATGCCTATAATCCTGGCATCCCAAGAGGCAGGGGCAAGAATACTATCTCTAGTTCAAGACCAGCCTGTCCATGTAGCAAATTCCTAGCTAACTAATGCTACACAGCAAGATCATCTAAAAAACCAAAAACAATATATCTGTGTAAATAATTATCACCACCAAAAAAATAAAAAATTAAAAGAATTGCAGTAAGTGGTAGCGCTGCATAGTACATAGGATACAGGTGCAATTGCTTCATCCACTGCTGCCTTTTCTTCCCATGGTTGTCATGACTTTTGTATAAAGTTACTATTTTCTCTAGTTAAATAATTGTTTTCCTATGTGGCATGGTGACACACAGTCGTAGTACTTGGGTGGCTTGAGGCAGGAGGATCACAGGTTGTAGTTCAGCCTGGGCTACAGAGGTCCTTTCTCAAAAAACGAACAGACGCCGGGCGGTGGTGGCGCACGCCTTTAATCCCAGCACTTGGGAGGCAGAGGCAGGCGGATCTCCGTGAGTTCAAGACCAGCCTGGTCTACAAGAGCTAGTTCCAGGACAGGCTCCAAAACCACAGAAAAACCCTGTCTCGAAAAACAAAAAAACAAAAAACAAAAAAAAACGAACAGAGAAGTACTACCAGGACTTGGAATTTCGCTCTCATGCACAAAGCTCTGAGTGGCATTGCTAATTTAAAACTAATAACGGGCTGGAAAGATGGCTCAGAGGTTAAGAGCCAGGTTCAATTCCCAGCACCCACATGGCAGCTTATAACTGTCTATAACTCCTGTTCTAGGGGATCTGACACCTTCACACAAACATACATGCAGGTAAAATACCGATGTCCCCTCCCCCCCAAAAAAAACTAATAACAATAAAGATTATTTTCCCATCCAGGCTGTAGTGGCACACACCTTTAATCTTAGCACTCAGGAGGCAGAGGCAGGGGGATCTCTGTGCGTTCAAGGCCAAACTGGTCTGCAGTTAGTTCCAGGACATCTAGGTCTACACAAAGAAATCCTGTCTTGAAAACAATAAAGATTATTTTCCCTAATAGGTAACACAATAGATAACATTCATAGGTCGCAATTATTACTCTTTAAAATAATTTTAAGGGTGTGTGTGTGTGTTGTACTTTTCTGTACATATACCAGAAGAAGTGTTATATCTTGTGGAGCTGGAGTTTCAGACATTTTTGGCAATCTAATCTCAATCTTCTGTAAGAACAGCAGATACCCTAGTTGCTGAGCCATCTCTCCAGCCCCACAGATCAGTTACTGAAAATGTAAACACAAAACTCATTCTAAGGTGACTCTCCCAGAAACAATTCATGTCAAATACAACAGTTATTTTTACTTACATCAGCTATTCTTTTTTACACAGCGAAAATGAAAAGGAAAGATTAGAGTTTTGTTGTCAACTAGTTTGAACAAATCTAGCCCACCATGTGATTTTCTAACACTAAGAATGCTTTACACAGATGAACATTTGCCGTTGATTTAGTGTGAGGAATACCACTTGAAATCCAGATAAACTAAATAATACCCCTTCTCCCTGAAAAAAACATGCTGTTACTTTTATTAGTAAATTTGTACTACAAATTTATTATGTTCAGTTAAGATATTTTGGATTTTATATTTTCATGTATGAGATAAATACTTAGAATTAATTCTGTGTCTTAGCTAACAAAGGTAACAAAGTCTGCTATTACTTTGGCCAAACAAGTAATGCCCCTTTTGCTCCCCTTTAACTTACTTTCATTTCCTAAGAAAATGTTCTTTTTTAATTTGAATTGGTGGGCTATCACAGCACATATATGGAGATCAAAGGATAATTTGCAGGAGTTGGTTCTTGGCTTCTACCATATGGATCCCTAGTATAAACTCAGATTATTAGTCTTGGCAGCAAGTGCCTTCACCCACTGAACCATCCAACCCCAAGAAAATGTTAAAGCATCAAAATAATATATCCCTTTCCAAAATACTGATATTAGTTTGTTTTTGTTCATTGAGACTCAGCTTCTTTATATAGCACAGACTGGCCTGGAATTTGTGGTCCTCCAGTTTCAGCCTCCTGAGTGCTCAAACTAAAGGTGTAGGATATCTTGCCAGGCCTATTACCTGTTCTTAGAACCATTTTGGACTGTAGCCAGAGCAGGTCGGCCAGGAAGAGGTTCTGGTCTGGACTGTGCATGCCTGAATTTGACAGTTCTTGACAGCATGGAAATCTCGGTAGCTGAAAGCATTCCAGCCATGGAGCAGCTAAGCTGCATGGACCCTGTCTGTTTGTCTGTCTCTTTGAGACACAGTTTCTCTGCATAGCCCTAGTTGTCCTGAAACTCACTCTATAGACCAGGCTGGCCTCGATCTCACATAGATCCACCAGCCTCGGCCTTCCTAGAGCTGGGATTAAAGACATGCACCACCACTGCCAGGCTTGTCTTTTCTTTATATCTGAATCTTTAGACAGTTATTTACTGAGACTTTAGAATCAAGAAACAGTTTATGAAATTTGTGGTAATTGTACATAATTATATATGTTTTTCTGTATTTACCAAAGGACACATGTCACAAATGTAAAGATCTGACATGCTTTCTTTTTTAATTAAGTTTTTACAATTGTAAGATTGAAATTCTAGACCAGACTTAAGAAGTGTTTCATATTGTCAGATTCTCTATTCTTAACTGTGTTATTTGGAAAACAGCATGAGGTAGCTTGTTACGGCAGCTTTTTGGCTAGCATTTTCGTTTTTGTCAATTTATTTCTGCTTTAAACCGCCACTAATTATGGTGCCTGCTAAATTAACCCTCAGTGAGGGGTGACTACTTGCATGTATTAAAACTTGTCATTTGCTCATTTGTCCCTTGAAGTAAAGGCATTCATTATAGGCTCTCCGTGAATTATGTTTAAATTTGGGGGGAATCTTTTATATATGTGTGTGTGTATGTGTATATATATACATATATATGTATATAATTTACACATGTTTTATATATATATATATATACATAGAGAGAGAGAGAGATTTAGGATTCTGAAGTGTAAAAGTATAGGGAATTTTTGTGGTTTTGTTTGTTTTTTATAATTTATTTATTTTTATGTGCATTGGCATTTTGCCTGCATGTATTTCTGTGTTACATTGTCAGATCTTGGAGTTACATTGGAGTTACAGATAGTTGTGAACTGCCATGTGGGTGCTGGGGATTGAACCTGGGTCCTCTGAAAGAAGAGTCAGTGCTCTTAAGTGAAGAACCATCTCCTCACCCTATTTTGTTTTTTATCTACCAATAGTTTTCTTAGTATGAGAAGGAAAAATAGCAGAACATAATTTTCCTTTTCCAAATTATCTTATTCCCAGCACTCCTCTTCAAACTGTATTTCCACAGTAATCCTGCTTTTCAGGATTCCAAAATCTCTCTGGAGAGCCCTAAGAGAAAGTTGAGTGCCACCATCAAAGAAGGGTTGTGATTCAGAAGAGACAAACCTGGGCTTGTAATTCTTCTTTTTAAGCAGTAGGTAATTCTCTAACTGGCTCGTCTTCAAGAAAATATGTATTTTAGGTGCTGGAGATGTGGTTTAGTAATAAAGTGTTTGCCATGTCTGCATTTGGCCCTAGTCCTATTTCCCAGACTGAACAGTCCTTGCTGAAAATGTCTGTTTTAGGGCTAGAGGGACAGCCTAGTGCTTAGAATCCTTGTTTCTCTTGTGGAGGATCTCAGTTTAATGTACAGAACCTATAGTGCAGTGGCCCACGACCCCTTGTAACTCCAGCTCCAGGGCATCTGCATTCACATAAACAAACACACAATTGAGAGAATGTTTTTAAATTCTGTGTTCGACAAACCTTTATTGTACTCTGTATCAGGCCATAGAAGTTAACTACGATACAGTCGTTTTAAGAAGATTGGCATCTTCCTCAGTGAAGAAACAGACCAACCAGTGACTCAAATAAAAATGCCCCTGTACTATTTTGATGTCACTTTACTAGCGAGTGTTAGAGGGAGAAATCCAAGGGGGTTTTTGGTCTGGGAAAGCTCATTGAGATGCTAATCTTGGTAGGTAGAGCTCAGCAGATGGGAAAACTGCCTCTTTCTTTTCAAGGCCAACCTGCCCCTGCTGCAGCGAGAACTGCTGCACTGTGCCCGGGCTGCCAAGCAGACCCCATCCCAGTACTTGGCCCAGCACGAGCACCTTCTGCTCAACACCAGTATCGCATCTCCTGCTGACTCTTCTGAACTGCTTATGGAGGTTCATGGAAATGGAAAGAGGCCCAGTCCGGAAAGGTGAGCAGAGAAGAGATCTGTTCTGTTTTTCTAGAGTTATTCTTTGCTTTAAAAGAAAGAGGGTTTGGATGCTGGTTTGTAGACAGATAATGTCGTAGAATTTCCAAGATTAGTATTCCTTTGACCCAACAACTCTCCAGATGATTAACTGTTCCAGAAATGGAACCTCAGTCCCTCACTCTTTTTCATTCAGCCACCAGCAAAAATAATGTTTTTTCTTTTCTTTTTCTTTTTCTTTTTTTTTTTTTTTTACTAAATATGTGGGGCCCTCATATCTGGTAAGCAACCAGTACTACAGCAGGTGTTAGCTTGTCCTTTACTGTTGTTCTCTATCTCAAGATATAGCCAACTCCACAGGTTAAATGAAGCCTCAGCTCTTAGGATTGTTCAGTTCCTTAAGCCAATGACTGGCCTCAGGTCGTAATTATGGACAATATAGTAATAGTGCCACAATAGTGCATGGGTTGTTGGTGGAAGCAGTATTATGAACAATAGAAAGCTTACTACAGTTGAATTTGAGTAGTGGAAACCCCTACGAAGTTACTAAGACATTTTCTTCCCAGCAACTCACCTCTAGAATGTCAGATTTGACTTTCAGCATTTATAAACTTCATCAAACCTAGTCCTGTTTAGTTTCTTCTGTCCTGTGTCATAATTATAGTTCTGCTTATTGAGCCTCTCTTCTTCACACTGGAATAAACAATCATTTACACATTGTGTCTGGCCCCTGAAGACAGTTCAGTTCATGCCTCTTGTTAAATGGTTCCTGAACTGGGTATGGGAACACACAGCAGAAGTCACAGCTACTGCAGAGACAATAAAGTCAGGTCTCTGGAGTTTGGCTAAGACCAGCCTGGGTAACATACTGAGATAAGGGCTGGTAGGTTGGGAGTGTAGCAGTATTAAGCATGTGCTTAGCAGTATACAGCACCAAAAATAAATAACTATTCCTTACAGTCTTCCTGCTTTGGAAAGTGCATAGTATCTAAAGGTTGGATTTTATAACAGGTGTGTTGCTGGGAAGAAGCATCTGTCCTGAGACTTGGTAGTGATGTTACCATGAGCTCTTCTTGACAGGCTCCTATAAGCACTTCTGATTCCTCTACAGGAGGGAAGAGAATAGTTTTGAAAGAGATACAGTTCCTCCTGAACCACCTGCCAAGAGAGTGTGTACTATCAGCCCTGCTCCCCGGCACAGCCCTGCCCTCACTGTGCCCCTCATGAATCCCGGGGGCCAGTTCCATCCTACTCCACCACCTCTTCAGCACTATACTTTAGAAGACATTGCAACTTCTCACCTGTATCGGGAACCCAACAAGATGCTAGAACACCGAGAAGTTCGTGAGAGGCACCACAATCTTAGTAAGTGACCTCAGCAGCATAGCAATGCTTTAATCTGGAGGAAATCCATGGATTGTTTTCCTATTCAGTGATAAAGCCAAATAATATCATCATTGCCCTTTTTTCTGTTGATAAGATGATGTCGTGCAGCTGGACATAGTGGCACATGTCTGTAATTGCAATACTATGGAGACTGAGAGGTAGGATGGATGATCAGCTCAGGGCCATTCTCATCTACATAAGGAGTTTGAGGCTAACCTGTGCTATAGACAAAAAAATAGAGGGCTGGGCATGGTGACATCTGTCTGTAGTGTTAGAGTCACCCCAAGTTTGAGGCTAGCTTGATTTACATGAATCTCAGGCCAGTCAGAGCTGCTTTGACTCTGCATGTGGAATCTGATGGAGCCTGAGAGCAACAGCTTCTGAAATGAATGAAGATTGCCATCTCTCTCTCTCTCTCTCTTTTTTTAAAGGTTTGAAATGCCTGAAGCACAGGTCTATGTAACTATTAAATTTAGGAATGAACATTCCCATTTAAAAAGTCAAGTCCTGGGCTGGAGAGATGGCTCAGAGTTTAAGAGCATTGACTGCTCTTCCAAAGGTCCTGAGTTCAATTCCCAGCAACCACATGATGGCTCACAACCATCTGTACTGAGATCTGGTGCCCTCTTTATGGCCTGTAGGTATACATGCAGGTAGAAAACTGTACTTACAATAAATAAATAAAATCTTAAAACAGGGGGCTGGAGAGATGGCTCAGTGGTTAAGAGCATTGCCTGCTCTTCCAAAGGTCCTGAGTTCAATTCCCAGCAACCACATGGTGGCTCACAACCATCTGTAATAAGGTCTGGTGCCCTCTTCTGGCCTGCAGACATACACACAGACAGAACAATGTATGCATAATAAATAAATAAATATTGTAAAAAAATCTTAAAACAAATTAAAAAAAAAAGCCGAGTCCTAATTTGAAATCAGTTTTGAAAAGAGTTTTTTGTCACGTTCTCTTTTATAGATGAATCTTTGGAGTTTAATTCCTCAGCATCTATTGGGCAGGGGGAAAAAAGGCTGCCATCTTGTAGAGTTTCTCTTGCATTCCATTTGTTAGGGATACCTTGTGGAGACCACATTGACTCATTCCCACTCTAACCTAGGCTGACTGGCATCTTCTCACAAGGGCCTCATGCTTCACGCAGTTATTACTGAATGGTGAAGGCCATGAGAGCATTGGCTCCGTGCATTTATGGAGTCTAAGCTACTGTAACATTTGATTCCAGAAGATCTAGGCAGTCATTGATTTCTTCATACAGAGAAGATCAAAGCAACTGTGGCCAGTGTAACATAGCTAGTGACTTTGACAAGATTCAGCTCTTAAACTGCCTGATGTTGAAGTTGTCTTTGTTGGTATCCAATTCTTACTCTCCCATGCCTCTTTGTTTAACTGTTAAAAAACTAGACAATGGGGGTCAGCAAGCAGGCTCAGTGAATAAAGCACTTGCCATGTAAGCCTGGCCCTGAGTCTGATTCCTGGAGAGAATTAACTCCAGAAAGTTGTTCTCTGTTCTCCATGCGCCGTCATCTTCATTGTGAGCATACACAGACACAAACAATATTAATATCAGATTTGTTTTAAGAACTAGGCTTGCTATTGACTTTTTGTTTCTCTTCATACGCAGTGCCCATTTGGGAGAGAAGAGTGGTAAAAGCTAGGTGTGGGGTCTGAAAGAAAATGACCCCCAAAGGGAGTGGCACTATTAGGAAGTGTGACCTTGTTGTAGGAAGTATGTCATGGTGGGGGTGGACATTGAGATCTCTTTTGCTCAAGATTTCCTTAACATGACTGTCAGTTGACTTCCATGCATGCAGCCATGCTTCTTACTATGATGATAATGGACTGAACTTTTGAAATTGTAAGTGAGCCACCCTAATCAAATAATTTCTTTATAAGAGTTGCTGTGGTCATGGTATTTCTTCACAGCTATAAAAACCCTAAGACTCTAGATATAACTGTATTTTGTTAGATTTTTACTAATTTAGAAAAAACTGTATATTTACATCTGGAAGTGTAATTTGAAATTGTTGCTCCCCTACCATGACGAATCCACCGGGTTCACCAAAAAAAAAATTCCTTTGTTTTCCTTTGACCTTTCCTTGTCTGCCCTGTTAATACTGGTCCACTCCCCTTTTCTCTCCTAGAATGAACTCTATGGACACTATAGCCTACCGTAGAGCTGTAATTTTAGGATATATGTTCTATGCAATATATAAAAACGTATTTACAGTAAAATGTACAAGTGCTTAGGCATTAGAAGATAGCAATTCTTAGTGGAAGAGCAAACTCCAATTGTCTTGCTCCATACTTTGCATGTAATGGAGTTAAAGATGTGTGCTTTAACTGACTGGCTTAGTCAGTGTTCTGTTGCTGTCAAGAGCCATGACCACAGCAACTCTTATAAAACAAAGTATTTAATTGGGACTGGCTTATAGTTTCAGAGGTTTAGTCCATTATCAGCATGGCAAAAAGCATGGCAGCATGCAGCATGGTGCAAGCATGGTGCTGGAGAGGTCTGGATCGGGATCTGAAGGCTCTAGAGGATGGGAGAACCATTGGGCCTGCCTTGGACTTTTGAAACCTCAAAGTCCACCCCTAGTAACATACCTTTTAATCCTTTCAAGTAGTGCCTTTCTGGTCACTAAGCATTCAGCTCTGGAAGCCTACAGGGCCCATTCTGATTCAAGCCACCATAGATATCCAACTCAACAGACTATTTCTGATACTTTATTTCCCAGAAAGTTGATTATGAATAAATGCTTATATGAACAATGGAAAAGGACACAGCCCCTAATAACGTAGCTCCCTGTGTAGGACAGGCTAACCTCGAACTTACAGAGATCCTCCTGCCTCTGCCTTCTGACCACTAGGATTAAAGGTGTGAGCCACCACCACCACCACCAGGCTAAATACACAGCTTTTAAAGAAAAAGAAAAATGGCAGGATAGGTAATGAGTGGCAATGCCTCTCCTAAATGAAGGAATGGGCATTTCTATCCTACAGTATTAAACACACTAAATAATGTGTTTCTAGATAAATAGGGTTTGTTTATTTGTTGACCTTAGAAGATGTTTATAAAAACTATCTGTACTTCCTTTTCTGATATAACCTGTTGTGTCTTGTGATTGTTTTTCTTCTGGGGTATTTGTCTTTACAATTGAAGAGTTTGGGAGTCAACACCCCAAAAATGCTGGGAATGGAACCCTGGGCCTACTGTATGCTAGTTAAACAGTCTGTCACTGAGCTGTACTTCCAGTCCCTGTTGTCATTTGATCTGAATACTAACTCTTTATTGGCTAGCATTAATGCTTGTATCATTTTGTGGGTCTCACACCAGATATGTTAACTTACTCTTAGTAGTGTGCTCCAAGTTGACACAACTGTGTGTACCCTTGATATTATTCAGTTGCTCTGTATTCTTTAAATGTATTCTTTTTTCTGATAGGTCTGAATGGAGGCTACCAAGATGAGCTGGTGGACCACCGTCTGACAGAGAGGGAATGGGCTGACGAGTGGAAACATCTTGACCATGTAAGAATCTCTCAGCGTCCTTTCTTTGTTTTCCTCAGATTGCTTTTAAGTCTTTATAGTTTGTTTTGCTCCTTTTTAATCTGTTTGTTTGTGGATTTGGTATGGATTGGTGTGTGCATGAATGCTGTCATGAGTGCACTTTGTGTACATGCTAAGACTTGAGTATGGAGAGTCAGAGGACAGCTATTTGGTCTTCTGACTTGGCAGCAAACACCCTTTACCATTACATGCCTTAACATTTTGCCCGCCCACGGCAGCAAACACCCTTTACCATTACATGCCTTAACATTTTGCCCGCCCACTTTTGTTTTTTACTTTCCTATTCGGGCATGCACCATCCATCTCTTCATTTTTTTTTTAAATATTTATTTATTATGTATACAATATTCTGTCTGTGTATATGTCTGCAGGCCAGAAGAGGGCACCAGACCTTATTACAGATGGTTGTAAGCCACCATGTGGTTGCCGGGAATTGAACTCAGGACCTTTGGAAGAGCAGGCAATGCTCTTAACCACTGAGCCATCTCTCCAGGCCCCAGCTCTTTTCATTTTTAATGCTACCAGTAGTTCATGCATGTTTAAAGTGGACATGACTTTTAACCACTTGCCCAGGTGAAGGGCTGCAGAGTCATTCTCAAATCTTGGTGTTAGGCTGACCTCTCCAGTTCCTATCGCAAGTAATCATGTAATAGATAGTCAAGCAAAGGTTCCAGCTTTGCTACTTACTGCCTTTGTGAGCTCCATACCTCTTTTAGCTTTGATTTTTTTTTTTTCTCCTTTAAAAATAAGGTGCAGGGCTGGAGAGATGGCTCAGTGGTTAAGAGCATTGCCTGTTCTTCCAAAGGTCCTGAGTTCAATTCCCAGCAACCACATGGTGGCTAACAATTATCTGTAATGAGGTCTGGTGCCCTCTTCTGGCCTACAGGCAGACACACAGACAGAATATTGTATCCATAATAAATAAATAAATATTTAAAAAAATAAAAATAAGGTTCAGTGAGATGCCTCTGTAGGCAAAGGTGCTTATGCCAAACTTGAGTTTGATTCCCAAGACCCATATGGTGGAGGGGAAGAACCAACTCTCACAAGTTGTCCTCTGACCTCACTCATGGGCCATGGAATGTGCACGTGAAGACACACAAACCCACTCACACACTAAAATTCTGTAATATGTCTCCTTAAAAAAATTGTATAATTATTTGTAATATATATCCAAATTAGAATTAACATGCTGATATATACTCACGTTCTCTTTCCCATCAGAGGAGAGCATCCGCTCTCCCTGAAAATAGTCAGTGTCTACTTTAAAATTGCACATTGTGGCTTATCTAAGATATGATTATTATTGTTACTATCACCATCAGCATCATTGTCAATCATCTGACCCTGGTTCCTTACCTAGGGAGTAGTGCATTCGTGTATATGCATGTGTCTGTCACAGAGACAGCCCCAGATTGCATTTTTATGAAACATCTAGATTTGTCTGATAATACCAGGTACTCAGGTTTGGTGAAAAATTCCTTTACTCACTGAGCTATTAGCTTACAGATCAGCAGTTTTTTTTTAAATAAAAAATTGCTCAAGACCACTCCCATTGGCTATTTAAACTGCCCCCCCCAGAGAACGAACAAGTGGTCTCCCCTTTTCCCTCTCTGTTCCCCCCCCACCTGGGGGGGGGGTGCTGACATCCATTAAACCTGGGCTTCTTTAAAAAAAAAAATTGTCATGATATGAGATGGTCAGAGGACTACCTTCAGGAGTCAGTTCTCTCCTTCCATCCTGTGAGTTCCAAGGGCAGCAAGTATCCCTTACCTTCTGAGCTATCATCTTGCTGACCTGTATAAAGACCCCCCCTTTTTTAATCATTGGGTATTATAATTTAGAAGTAACATAAGTATGTGGGTAGATGTGCACAGGTTGTATGCAAATGCCACACGTTATTTATGAGGGAATTGGAGCACTTTTAGTGTTCCTGGAGGGTTCTAGAACCAATACCTCCATGGGCAAGAAAAGATAGCTGTGTATAGAGAATAACAAGGTGTAAGAGGGACATAGAGATGATTCAGTGGTTAAGAGCACTCGCTGCTCTTGCAGAGGACCCAGATCTGCTGCTCAGCATCCCCATGGCAGCTTACAACCATCAGTAACTCTAGTTCCATATTCCCTCCCTGATCTCTGAGGGCAACACATAAGCGCATACACTCCTATGCGTAAAATAAATTATTAAAAAAAAAAAAACCAAGGCATAAAAAGAAAAAAATTAAAAAAAAAAAAAAACCAAAAAACCAACAAGGTATAAGAATTGACTTTCCAATGTAAACTTTATTCCTAAACTTTATTCTGTGAGTTGTTTGTCCATCCTTGATTTTCACTGTTCCTTGTTAAAGTTTATCATCTATGCCTCACTTTCTGTCTGGCTCAGGCCCTGAATTGCATTATGGAAATGGTAGAGAAGACAAGGCGCTCTATGGCAGTTCTGAGGCGTTGTCAGGAATCTGATCGTGAAGAACTCAACTATTGGAAAAGGCGATTTAATGAGAACACAGAGATGAGGAAAACTGGGACTGACCTGGTCTCCAGACAGCACAGCCCCGGGAGCACAGATTCTCTCAGCAGCGGTAAGGACCGAGAGCAGGAGCCTGGGAAGAGCAGCGCCTTTCACTGCACTTAAAACGTCAAATCTGAGTTCATTGGTTTGTTTGTTCTGTAGCATTTGTTTGGTTTGTTTTTGAGAATCTTACTGTTGACAGGTTTTTGTCCTGCCCAGCCCTGCAGCCATTTAGTTCAAAATAAAAACACAGAAGCCTGCATTAATTATAAACTGGTTGGCCTATTAGCTCAGACTTCAAGGAGGTCCCCAGCACCTTAGTATGTACCTTAGGTGGACGCAGTTGTCTTGCTTCAACTTCCCAAGTGCTGGGATTAAAGGTGTGTGTCACCATGCCAACTGTGTTTATTTAGTTGTGTATGTGTGTGTTTGTGTGCGATGTTTGTGGAGTGTTGGTTATTTCCTCCCACCACATATTGGTTCTAGGGATTGAATTTAGTACTTCAGGCGTGGTAGCAAGGTTAACAAGCTATCTTGCCAACGTCCCCCACATTGCTTTTTTAATTTTGTTTGTTTGTTTTGGTTTTTCAAGACAGGGTTTCTCATGCGTAGTTTTGGAACCTATCCTGGAACTCACTCTGTAGACTAGGCTGGCCTCAAATTCACAGAGATCCGCCTGCATCTGCCTCCCGAGTGCTGGGATTAAAGACCTGTGCCACTACTGCCCAGCTCTCAGGTTTGTTATTGTTAGGTTTGCTTTTGTTACTTTCTGGGTTTGGTTTTTAAGATATGTTCTCATTTTGTAGTAGGCTGACCCCAAACTTGCTTTTAAGCCCTGCCTTTCCTGAGACTACATCATGAACAACTGCCCCAGCCACTCCTATGATTTTGTTATGTCCAGTCCCAATGTAGAAAGGTTTGCTAGAGGGTAAGGTAAGAGCAAGAAGAGGAGAAATTCAGGATTCTGTGGCCTCCAATGGAGAAGGAGTTATTAGCCAGAAACTTGGGTGACATCTAAACTTTGACTGGAATATAACTTAATGATGAGCATTTGCCTAGTCTGAGCAGTGACCTGGGTTCAACTCAGCAGTACAAGAGATCAGCGAGGGAGAAAGAAAAGAGTACCAGTTACTTATGTCACATCACGACTAGGTACTTTGATGGTTGCACTCAGCATATTCCTTCTTGATGCTATTCACCCCACTTCTCTTTCTTTCCTCAATTACCCTCCACTTCCTGGTGGCTGCCTTCCAAAGATTAGCTCAAGCAAAGCTGGGTTGTTCATCTTGATGCAGGAGAGATGAGTAACTCTTCCCGAGGGTACATCCAGGAAGCTTGAGTTAGTTATCCCCCAGAATGTTCCATCACTTTCCCCCAGACTCTGAAAAGGTGCCCTATCCAAAGGCACAGATGAATGACAGGCCATCTGTGATCACACTCTTTCTCCACCCACCCACCTAAAGTTCCCAAATGTTCATCAAAGAGAATGAATTTCTTCTTATGACAGTGCTAGCATTTTCTGTAGAAGACAGCCGTTAGTCTCAAAGGACTGGAAGAAAATTTGAGGAGTTGCCAGCATTAATAATGTGTGTCCTATCCTAAATAGCTAGCGACTGCCACTTTCTCTCTTCTTTGACAGGCATGGCTCTTGAGCCAGCCATCAATCAGCACCATTTTATATGGGATATCTGGTATATCAGGAAACAAACAACTTATATTTTATATGGGATATCTGGTATATCAAGAAACAAACAACTTACACGTGTGCACACACCTTTGATTTAAAACTTCAAAAAACAAATGAGGCGAAATCTTGGGTCATCCTTACAAATCTGAGCCCGTAGCAAATATTCCCTGCAGCAATTTAGAGATCCTGGCTAAAGATGGACACCCACAGTCATGTACGTTTCTCCCTTGAGATGCATGTGTGCAGCCGAGGGGACAGAGTGCAGGCTGAAGCACTCACTAACACACCTCTGTGTGCTGTCACTGCTCTGTACAGACTGCCCTGACTTGAGGGTCTACCTGAAATGACCATATTGTCTACTGTGCCTGGAACAGTTCTTACTATTTTTATGACCTATCCAAGTCATCACTAGCACCTCCCTTTCAAAATGAAGACAATTTGGTAAATTCTAGTCACTCTAGATTTAGTACTTCCTGGATCCCGGTGTCTCCTATTTAGATTCTGAGAACATTGCCAACCTGTCTGACTTCAGTTGTATCATTTGTCGGGGCTACAGCTTAGTTGACCTGGTGTTTACTTAACATGCACTAAGCCCTGGGTTTAGTCCCTAGCACCACAAAAACTGGGTGTGGTTTTAGAGTACACCTGTGATTGCAACATTTGTTAAGTTGAGACAAGAATTTCAGAAGTTAATTCCTAGCCTGAGCTTCATGAAACCCTGTCTGAAAAGAAGGGGAGTGAGAGAAGAGAAAAAAGTGGTACAGTAGGGGCTAGAGACATGGCTCAACAGTTAAGAATACTAAATGCTCTTCCAGAGGACGGGACTTTAGGTGGCTCACAACCACTTGTACCTTCAGCCTCAGGGAATCTCACTTAAGCAAACACCTGCACTCGTACAGATTCACACTCAAAGACAAGTAGTCGGAATTTTTCGTTGGGACAGTTGTCTCCCCAATAATGAAATGGAGACTTATTATTAATTATAAAAGTTTGACTTGTGTCTCACTAGCTCTTATAACTTAACCCATTTTTATTCATCTTTGTATTGCCACATGACTTGTGGCTTTTACCTTTCCTCTCTCATGTCTTGCTCCCACTCCATCTTGCTGGCAACTCCATCTTTCTTTTTCCCAGCACTCTTCTCTGTCCAAAAGACCATACTATACCTCCTCCCTAGCTACTGGCCGCCTAGCTTCTTACTAGACCAGTCACAGTGACACATACATCTTCACATGTCATAAAGGAGTATTCTACAATGTATACATAGTAAAAATCAATTATAAATCTTTGTTTGGTTGGTTTGGGTTTTTTAGACAGGGTGTTTTATGTAGCCCTGGTTGTCCTGGAACTCACTGTGTAGGATAGGCTGACCTCGAACTTACAGAGATCCTCCTGCCTCTGCCTCCTGACCACTAGGATTAAAGGTGTGAGCCACCACCAGGCTAAATACACAGCTTTTAAAGAAAAAGAAAAATGGCAGGATAGGTAATGAGTGGCAATGCCTCTCCTAAATGAAGGAATGGGCATTTCTGTCCTACAGTATTAAACACACTAAATAATGTGTTTCTAGATAAATAGGGTTTGTTTATTTTTTCACTATGTGTCAGTTTTAGAAGGAAAGCAGAATTCATAATGTGGACTAAACTGTTATATTGGAGTATGATGGGCATTGTTTTCTTTAAGAAAGTCTCTTACTAACATGGTGCACAACTTTAATTGCAAAATTTTAGAGGCATCAGAGAACAGCCTATTAGAGAGTTCTAGGATATTCAGGGTTACATAGACCTTGTCTCAAAAAAAAATTTGTTTTTCGTTATTTTAAAAATCATATGGGTGCATGCTTAAATGCCTATCTGGTGTATATGTAGGCACAAGTGCCATAGTGTATCTGTGGAGGTCAAAGGACAATTTTTGAGAGCTGATTGTCTCAAAATTTTGGGGCTCCAGTGATGTAACTTGTTTATCAAGCTTGCATGGCAGGCGGTTACCCCTGAGCCATCTCTTTAGCACCTTTTATGACAGAGCCTCCTTGCATAGCTTTGGTCGACTTAGAACTCGCTATGTAGACTAGGCGATGATTTTTTTTTTAAGTGCTATTTTTGTTTGTTTTGGTTTTGAGACATGTTTCACCCTGTAGCTCTAGTTAGTCTGGAATTTGTTATGTAACCCTGGCTGGCTTCAAGCTCAAATTGATCCGCCTTCCTCTCCCCCCTTCATGCTGGGATTAAAAGCGTGCCTAGTTAAGTGCTATTTTACAAGTAACTGGACTATGTAAAGGCCATATGCAACAGCTCTCTAGAAGCTGAGGCCGGAAGAGTTTATGTTTGAGGCCCTCCTGAGTTGCGACATATTGAAACATCTCCCACCCCAGCAAAGCCCAGATTATAATACAGAAAGATAAAATTGTAGAAGTACTTTCTCCTTGTTTAATTTCTCATAGCAACACTTAGTAACAAATTAGTGTTGTCTTACAAATATTTCTGTGTTCATATTTAAAGAGAGTTCCCCCAGTTCTTTGTTTTGTCATTTTCGGTCTGAACTTCTTGGCACAGGCCCATAATCCCAGCTACTTGAGAAGAAAGAGAATGAATTCAAGGCTTGCCTGAGCTACAAAATTCAAGGATAGCCTGATTTACATAGGGACATTTTGACTAAAAGTAACAAAAGGGAGCCTGGGGCTTGATTCTTAGTCAAGGTACAATGAATTTATTTATTTGATGTCCCAAGTTTTGTGTGACCCATTGGTGAAGCACTTGCCATGAACGAAGCACAGATGTTTGGATCTAGGTGGTAATGAGAAGTCTGATAAAAAGAAATTTTGTGTCAGGGTTAGGGATTATTATTAGAGCATTTGCCTAGCATATATGAGAATTTGGGTTTTGAATACTGACTAAAGACAGCTTCTGACTCCTTGCTCTTTATCTCTTTTGTATAGATTCTCAGCGGGAATTCACCAGTAGGCCAGGAACAGGATATGTGCCTGTGGAGTTTTGGAAGAAAACAGGTGTGTATCTGTCTGTTGGTAGGCTGTCTGTACTCACTAGTTTATGCAAGCCAAAAACTCATATACTAAGGTGAAGTAATAGGAGCGGCGGGGCTGCGTCCCCAGCACTCCGGCTGCCTGCTCGGCTAGCTTATGCCCCGAAATAACAACACACAAACTGTATTCATTTAATCACTGCTTGGCCCTTTAGCTCTAGCCCTTACTGGCTAATTCTGATATCCCGATCAACCCATTTCTAATAAACTGTAGCACCGGTCTTACCGGGAAGATTCTAACCTAATCCATCCTGGGTTGGAGCTTCATGGCGTGTGTCTGCCAGGGAGCCAGGAGCATGGCGTCTCTCTCAGGCGTCTGCTCCAGAGAGGAGAGCTGTCGAGACTGAGCTCACTTCCTCTTCCTCCCAGCGTCCTGTTCTGCCTACTCTTCCCACCTATCTTCCAACCAATAAAATGGGCCAAGGCAGTTCCTTTATTAGCCAATGACCTTCCTCCATCACTAAGGAAAGTTTGCACAGCCTTTATTTGTCCATAGTGTCTTTTTTATTGAATTGTGGCTTCTCCTAGCCTCCTTCTGGCTGATCTGTACGTTTCCTGGACTGAACTGGCTGCCTGATCCTTGGCAGGCCAGGGGTTCGGAATGGACCCTCTAGGCCTTTTCATGGCTTTCTACTGGCTGCCATTGAAGCAGGAAGTACCTAGTTATTCCTCCATTTTGACAGAAGTTGAATTTATTTTCTGCTTAGTCTCTTTGCTAGTATCATACTATATTCACATTGCCACCACATTTACTGAGTTCTCTTTTTCTTTTTAAGTTTTCTTGTGTTTGTGGAACACACAGCACAGTGTGGAAGCCAGAAGGCAATTTTAATATCAATCTTTGATCTACCTTGTTTTGAACCTGTCTCATTTCCTGCTCTGAACACCAGGCTAACTGACCATCTCCCTGTGGGAATACTGGGATTGTTGGATGCATGCTTTTACACCAGACTCTCTGTGGGTTCTGCAGATCAAAACTCATGTCTTGCACTTACATGGTAGGCACTTTATTCACTGAGCATCTCCAGAGATCTCTGCAAGAATAGTGAGGGCTCATAATCACTCAGCCATCTTTCCAGCTCCTTTTCCTGCTTTTAGTTTACCCAAGACTATTTTAGAGCTAAAAAAAAGTCAGCTCTGTGGCTAAGTGTGCGTTTACTATCTGTCAGGTACACTAGCAGCACATCGTTACCCAAGAGTGAGTACATGCAGGTTCTTGAGTGTAGTTGACAGGTTGTATCCCAATTTATACCAGTTGATGCTGGCTTTGAAGTCAGCATCGTCCTTCCTTAATTCCAGAGTAGCTACAATTTTAGGCATGTTTATCTATTAGTTATTTTTACCATGTAAAACAGTTTGAAATTACTTTTAGAATGAGAAAAGTAAATCTTTTTTGTTTTTGTTTTTCAGGGCAGTGTTTCACTGTATAGCACTGGCTGTCCTTGAACTGACTCTGTAGACCAGGCTAGCTTAGAGAGATCTGCCTGCTTCTGCCTCTCAAGTGCTGGGATTAAACACACGTGCCACCACTGCCTGATGAGAATAATGTATTTTATATTGATTAAAAAATTAGGTAGATTAGGGCTGGAGAGATGGCTCAGAGGTTAAGAGCACTGGCTGCTCTTCCAGAGGTCCTGAGTTCAATTCCCAGCAACCACATGGTGGCTCACAACCATCTGTACTGAGATCTGGCGCCCTCCTCTGGCGTGCGGGCATACATCGAGGCAGAATGTTGTATACATAATAAATAAATAAATCTTTTTTCAAAAAAAAAAAATTAGGTAGATTAGTAAAAATTCACACTAAGATAAAGATTTCTTAATGACTTAATGACTCTGGCTACTTGAGAGGTACCTTTGTTAACTGCTAAGTGCCTAAATTGCTTTTGGGCCAGCTAGGCCTCATTTTGCTACAGTATTCCCTGTGACCTTAGACAATCTAGTTCAAACTACAATTGGGTTTGGGTTCTTTCTTTCTGTCAGATTTTATTTATTATATATACAGTGTTCTGCCTGCATGTATGCCTGCAGGGCAGAAGAGGGCACCAGGTCTCATTACAGATGGTTGTGAGCCACCATATGGGTGCTGGGAATTGAACCCAGGACCTCTGGAAGATCAGACAGTGCTCTTAACCGCTGAGCCATCTCTCCAACCCGAGTTTAGATTTTCAAAACAGGGTTTCTCTATATAGCCCAGGCAGTGCAGTGATCTAAGATAGGGAAATCTGGAGTCCTTGACCTCTGCGTGAGGACTTTAAGGCTGGATCAGTTTTATAGGAAGTTGTAGCTCTTTTGAGCCCATGCTTTATGAAAGAGCCCAGCTGTTAGGGATCCCCTTAGTGCCTGGGTTTTATTTCCTGTGGACTCCTAAAAGAGATTTCGCATTCATAATCTCTTTTGGCTAAGTCCCATGTAGTAGTGTCTTCACTTAAGGAAATCAAGCAAGGTGGGTCAGAGGAGGGAGGAATCTTGTTTCTCCAAATGTCCCCTCCATTTTTACCTGGATGCTCTAGGCACGTGCCTGCTCTTTTTGTATGCCCATATCACTGCACAAAGCTGCTGATGTCCTTTACCACATGCCCAGACCTCGCTGATCCTCACCTCCTAGGTGCCTTTTCCAAATTCAGAGCCTCTTGTCTCAACTGAGCCATAGCAGCTTCCCAGTTGCTTTCTTACCTCCATAAGATACATACATACATATATAAGATGCAAGATATACATCTATCTTGTATAGAACTCCAGAAGTTCACATTCTCTTAGAAAATACAATATTCAAAACAAAACATATTTTGATCCTCTCTTGTCTCTTGAAAGACTAGTCTCTAATTTTGACATATGAGATGGCACCTCAGCCACTGGGGTACAGGAAAAGGAATGGTGTTTACATACTTGTGTGTTCCCAGCCTAACACAGCATCCACTTCGATGTGTATACCTAACAGTCGCTTCACTGGGTGAGGCTGTGTAAGAATAGAATATAAATGTGTGTTCATATTCACTCCTGCACATCCTATTTTCACTGTTTTCCTTAGAAATACTGTGCTTAGCTGAGCATGTTGGCACGTGCCTGTAATCTCACTGCTTGGGAAGCAGAAGCAGGAGGATTGCCACAAGCTTGAGACTAGCCTAGGCTATTTATTTATTTAATAAATAGTGAGAATTTATTAAACCCTACCTCCTTGAACCCCCTTACATCCAGTGTTGTGGATTGGGAGGGAAAAGATCTCTCTGCCAGTTGATTTTACTGTTGCTTTCTTCCAGAAGAAGCTGTGAATAAGGTGAAAATTCAGGCCATGACAGAAGTACAAAAGGCTGTAGCTGAGGCGGAGCAAAAAGCCTTTGAAGTGATTGCAACTGAGAGAGCTCGAATGGAGCAAACCATAGCGGATGTCAAAAGGCAGGCTGCAGAAGATGCTTTCCTGGTCATCAATGAGCAAGAAGAGTCCACAGAGGTCAGAGCTATGCTGGGCTATAGGCTGGGCTGGGTGGCTGAAGGGGAGCAAGCCCACTGCTTGCCACTGTGGTGCTGGGGAGGAAGAGTTCACTAGATGATGGGATTTTTATTTATTTATTTATTTATTTACTTACTTACTTACTTATTATGTACACAATATTCTGTCTGTGGTGCAGGCCAGAAGAGGGCACCAGACCTCATTCCAAATGGTTGTGAGCCACCATGTGGTTGCTGGGAATTGAACTCAGGACCTTTGGAAGAGCAGGCAATGCTCTTAACCTCTGAGCTATCTCTCCAGCCCCCGATTTTTTTTTCTTTTTCTTTTTCTTTTTTTTTTTTATATGTATTTATTATGGATACAATATTCTGCTTACATATATGCCTGCAGGCCAGAAGAGGGCACCAGACCTCATTACAGATGGTTGTGAGCCACCATGTGGTTGCTGGGAATCGAACTCGGGTCCCTTAGAAGAGCACGCAATGCTCTTAACCGCTGAGCCATCTCTCCAGCCCCGATTTTTTTTTTTTAAGCTGATACCAGGAGACTTTTTCCTTGCTTTAAGATAAACCAAAATAATAATTCTTTTAGATTCATTATAGTCTATCACATACACACAGTATATTGCTTTAGCTTCCATGAAGGCGGAGTTTGTCCCAGTTACAGCTGTAGTGGTTTCACTGCACACAGTGAAACCTAACTATGTGTGTGTACCTCTTTTTAAACCTCACAGTAATCTAATTATGGAGATGTTGATTCTCAATTTGCAGGAATGGCAGATAAAATAGCCCGTCCAATGCCCTATCCAGGGCTCAAGACTCAGTGATGCTTCAATACAATGAAAAATTGCAACTGGGCATGATGTTACACACCTGTAATCCTAGCATTTGGGAGGCTGAGGCCAGAGAGTTTAAGAGTTCAAGTGAGCCTGGTACACATAGGGGAAAACAGGTCACAAAGAAAAAAAAAAGATGGAAAGGCAGAAACATTGTGACAGTTCAGTCATACCCCTGCCTGCCGCCTATCCCCCCGTACTAGGTATTACATTTATGGCCTTTATTTGGCAAATGTGCTACCTCTTAATTGCATCCCCGTCTTTTTATTGTTTTTATTTTGAGACATGGTCATGCTGAGTTTATAAAACTGCCTTTGAAGCCAGCGTCCACCTGCCTCAGGCTCTAGAGGAGATGCATGCATTCAGCCCTAGCACTAGTGTATTTGAAATCAATGAAATTTCTCTGTGTAATTATTTTTTTGAGGCAGGGTCTCTATGTAGCCCTGACTGTTCTGGAACTTGCTATGTAGATTGGGCTGGCCTCAAACTCACAGAGATCTACCTGCCTTTAAGTGTTGGGATCAGAGATGTACACCACTACTCCCAGCCTATAACTTTCATTTTAGTCTTTAGTCTTTTTTAAGGGTAGTGGATTTTTGAGACCTGATCTTTCTATATAGCCTAGTCTGGCCTGGTACTGTGTAATCCAGGTTGTTCTTGAAATAAAGGCAATCCTTCTGTCTCAGTCTCCTCAGTGCAGTAGATTTACAGGTGTGCAGCATCATGCCAACCTTCTCATTTTAGTCATTTTTTAGGATTAGAACATAAGGAATAAGACTATAGTAGCTATAATTTTAAGCAGCAAACTAAAAGTAGCCTATAGGTGAGATGTGTGCCAGCATGGATCCTGGCAAGTTTACATTTCAAAAGGAAGAACAGACATCTTCAGCATTTGGTGAATTGGCAGTGGACCAGAAAGGAAAGGCTGATTGTCTTGCATTTCATCAAGAAAATTCTGCTGAATAAATAGCAGTTTCTCCATTTCATGCGAAGCTGTGCAAAACAGGAGAAGCATGCTACCCCCGCCTTCTCTTCACAATGACCTCTCATCATTAAGGAACCAGTTTTCTGTATAGAGGGTACAACTGCCCTGTCCTTTTGACCTGGTAGCTTTTGTGAAGATAAACTGAGTGTACAGTGTTATAGTATTCAGTGGTGTGTAAACAAACTATAGCACCTCCTACTTTTGTCAACCTGGGCTTCTTTTCTGCCTGGGATGATTTTGTTTGTCTGTTTTTCCCGAGACAGGGTTTCTTTCTGTAGCATGACTGTCATAGAACTCACTCTGTAAACCAGCTGGCCTTAAACTCACAGAGATCCACCTGTCCTCTGCCTTCTGAGTGCTGAGATCAAAGACATGCGCCACCACTGCCCAGCACCTTGCCTAGGGTAGAGGGACAGAAAGACCTTATCTCTCCAACAAGGCATGTTCTGTCTCCAGCTCCAACTTTTCTGGCAAATATAATAAATTAGCAATTGACTATGAAGTAGAGAGTCTTTTTCTCCTGTGGGCCAGGGCTGCCAAGAGTTCTGAGTTGGGATCCAAGGTTTTGACAAGCCCCAGGTAATTCTGATAGAGCTTATGTGAGATGCTGACATAACCAGTGGCTTCTGCTTAGCAAAGGAGATCCTAGAATCACAATCCTGCCTCATGTGACTCCTGACTCGGGAGCTTTCTGACCTTCCCACAAGAACCACAGAAGAGCCAAATCTGGGGCTCAGGTTTTGAGAAATGCTAATTTGAGGGGATGATCAAAGAGTAAACAGTTTCTTTTTGGGAGGCCAAGTGTTGTTCTCGAGATGGTGTCTTACAGTCTAGGTTGGCCTTGAATTCACTATATAGCCAAGACTTACTTTGAACTCCTTCCTCACCTGCTTCTGCTGCCCAAATGCAGGGATTATAGTCAGGCACCACCAAGCCTGGCTTAAACCCTTTGTTTGGTTTCAAGAAGTTGTCTCACCTATTACCCAGGCTGGTCTCAAATTAATCTTAGCCTCCCAAGTAGCTGGAACTACAAGCCAGTGCCACTCCTTTGCCCAAGTTCTCCTGACACTAACTGTATTATACCTGCACATTATGAGCCTATCTCTGGGTGGAGACTGCTACTTTATCCTACATTTCATACAGCATGAAGATATCGTTAATGACAACCAAGATGAAAATGATGGTGGCTTGGTGCTCCGACCTGGTTTTTAGATGTCCTTGCAGACACCTGAAGGGAGAGGCAGCCATATAGCAGGGCTCCTGGCTTGTTCCTCACAAATGCCATCAATTTGTTGAGGTATTGCTCCTCGGCAACCCATCAGACTCATAGTGTTCCAGAGACTCTGGAACACATTTTGCCTGAAAATGTATGAATGTAATAACAATTATGTCTGTTCTCTAATTCTGTCCTCTAGCAAGGTTTTACTGTCCTTATAGTATATTTCCTGAGAAGCCTGAGTTAGAAGAGATCTGTAGTCTTTTCTGATGTGCTTTGAAGTAAGTTTATTTCTGGAGTATCAGGGCCTAAGTAGACCAGACTCTAGGCTTTAAATAGCCAACCCTTTGATGACATTTAGCCTTATCACATCTGGGCCTCAGTTTTCCCATCTTACAATGCTGAAAAAGAACCAGTAGGCCTGTTTTTTATTCTGGTCAAGCATCCTGATTTTAGGGAGAAAGCTGCCTTGTTCCTTAGCTAATGTTGTAGCCAGTCTTTGAGATGGACTTCTGCCATTCTGGTAGCCTTGCAGGCAAGAAGGCTAATTGCTAAGTCCTTGATGGCTTTACCAGACTAGAATCTTTAAAGCAAACAAACACTTTGTTTTTGCAGTGGGGCTGGGAGTCTTCCTGTGTAGCGCATCCATATGTCATTGCTGCATTCCTCCCAGAGGTAGCAAAGGACTTGGGAGTCAATGATGGAGCTACACAGGAGTAGGTTTTTTGTTTGTTTTGTTTTATCTTTAATGCTGCCTTTGCTCCCAGCTATCTAGAGGTATGGTGGTAAGTTATATATTTAGTGACATAGTGGCTGTCCTGCTGCTTTCATGGCTGCTACTTGAGCTCTCACCAAACCTTGTTTAGCTCTTATGTTCTATGGTAGAATTACTGTTCTTAACTGGTGCTTTCTGCTGAGCCTCAGGAGTATTTAACCCGCTCTGAATAAATGTAGCAAGCAGTAAGGAAACTCCCCGAGCTCTACTTCAGGTACCTCAGTGTTCAGTGGCCTTGACAAGTTGACCCTCAGCAATATGGCATGACAGCAATGGGAATAGGCACAGAGGACAAAGGGAGCAGTAGTCCAGCCATCTCCCTTTCATCCATCCTGGTTCCCTGGCAGGTACTTGGGGGTGGGGGGAATCTGTTTTCCTATATTCCTTTAAAAGTCTGTTAAAGGATCAAATATTAGCCAGGTGGTAGTGGCTCATACCTTTAATCCTAGTACTCGGGAGGCAGAGGTAGGTGAATGTCTGTGAGTTTGAGGCCAGCCGGGGCTACACAGAGAAGCCCTATCTCAGGGGGAACAAAAGATCAAATATTGTCAGTAAAAATGGTAAAGATGGTTCCTCCATTGGTTGCTATAGAAAATGTTTGTTCGAGCCTCATGTAGATTTCTGGTCTTTCTCCAGAAGAGAATTGTGAGACCTGGGCCAGGTGACATGTGCCCATGATCCTGGTGTTTGGGGGTTGGGGGGAGATAGGAGGATCAGGAGTTAAAGGTCATCCTCAGAGGACTCACCCACAGGTGTGTAGCTCCACGACCCTTGCTCTACCATGCAGATGAGAAGTGGCAAGCCTGACCCTCAAGATATCACCAGCCACTAACTGATGCCTGTGTCTTGCAGAACTGCTGGAACTGTGGCCGAAAAGCCAGTGAGACGTGCAGTGGTTGCAATATTGCTCGCTACTGTGGTTCCTTCTGCCAACATAAGGACTGGGAGCGGCACCACCGCCTCTGTGGCCAGAGTCTGCATGGCCACAGTCCTCACAGCCAGAGCCGGCCACTGCTCCCTGGAGGGCGGGGTTCAGCCAGGTCTGCTGACTGCAGTGTGCCCAGCCCAGCCCTGGACAAGACCTCAGCCACCACCTCACGTTCCTCAACACCTGCCTCTGTGACAGCCATCGATGCCAATGGACTCTGAGCCACAGACTCCACCCACCCTGATGACCACTCCACGTGGCCGAATGCTTGCACCAGGGAGCTGGCAATTAGAGCAAGTGGCTGTTGAGTCATCAGCAAGAAGCGAATTGGCAGAAAGCATCCAAGAGGCACTCCATAGTTTCTCTAGGATTGCCACTTGTCCCTTGGAGAACTAGTGTGTCATTCTCTCCACATAGGAAGTAGCTTGAGCTGCATCCTCCATGGCTTTCCTGATGTTTCTCTTCCAGCCAAAACTGGTATATCTGGCCGCTTCTCAGTGTAGACCACCAGCTCCCCTGACTCCTCGCATCAGCAGATGTCAGTAGTGTCCCACCAGGTACCTGTGCCACAAACCATCCATAGGAGAGGTCTAAAGGCTGGTAGCAGGCTACTGAAGGAGACCTTTCCTCCCCCTGCCACCAGTTTCTTGAACCTCATCTCCATCCTCAAAAGACAGTGAAGGGTCTAACAGACCACAAAGCAGTCCTCAGGACTTCTGAGCCACTCAGGCCTGCTAAGACACCCAGACATGCCAGAAAGAAGCTACCACTTCAGTAAAGTCTCTAGAAATGGTTAAAAAAAAAAAAAAAATGAAAGCAGTCTTCCCCAAGCATCACAGATCATTCTGGACAACATTTTCCAGCTTGCCCAGCTCCATTAGTTTGGAACACCCCTCCCCCAACTCCAGTGTTTTACTTGATTTTGCTTGTGCAAAAAATAACATCCATCGCATGGATTGGTCTGAGAGAGGATGAAACCATTGTGCTAGTCTTTTCTCTTAGCATGTTGGCCAAACTAAAATATTGAGTGCATCACCTCTTGAAAATGCAAAACCCTCTGCTGCTGCTTGACTGTTTAAACAGTCGTCTTGTTCTGTGTGTCCTTTTCTCTCTCAGACTGTGCATGTCTGAATCACTGGGGGTGTCTCTTGCCCATAGGTTTTGTTTGGCACCTGTCAGGCTACAGTTTGAGCAGTGTTCCTGACTCTGATGGGACCTGGTTTTGTGGCATTATGCCACTTCATGGGTTCATTATCAGCTGGACGTCCTTAGCCTCTTTTCTGTGTTTTATCTGTGATAGCATTCCTCACAGCTCGGAGTTTGTGAAGTGTGGGAACAGTTCTGAAAAGCCTGAGCGGTTTTTCTTCCCGACTTCAGGGACTTTTCCAGTTATCTGAGTCTCCAAATAGAATACCACCTGTACCGTTTGTCAGGCTGAGTTCTGCCCCACACCTGTTCTACTGCTGTGTGAGGTCAGTGAGGAGTCCCAGGGCCTTGCCCCTACCACTTAGTATCTCCCAGCATCCTCTTGCTTTATGTAGTCAATTGGAATGAGTCACTGACTTTGATCCTCTTGGCCTTTGGAAGCTGTGGTCACCTTCTATACAATGACCAAGTCTGAATACTAGCCCTTGCGCCATAAAAGCATGGATGTCATTTTCCTTGCATATAGTCACAGCTAATTTTAAGATTTTTGACGCCCTACCTTATTTGAACAAGGATTTTCAGTCTTAGAAACTTAGACAATTAAAATCATGTGTCAGCATAGAACACCCAAGACTCACTGCTTGTCAGACAGCCAAGTGCAGCCTGGCCTCCCTGCCGACATCCCCATCAGACTGCTGTTGTAGTATCCTAGCCACTGAGGACAGCTCTACTTTACTAGGTAGAGTCAGTACAGACAGTACCTACCCCATAACCTCAGACACAAGACTTCTGTGCTACAAGAAGACCACAGGTTTCTGGGAGTCTGAGAATGTCTCCTGGTGTACCCTGGATCCATTTTTCATTAGTCTATTGGATTAACACCTACCTGTTAAAATCTTGCAGATATTCAAGGTAGTTAGAATAAAGAGCTGGAATCAGCACACTGCTTCTTACCAGGTTGGAGATAAGTTTCTACAGCAAAAGTCTGGCCTAAAGGTCTACTTTGTGGGCTACATGGTTGCCCTGTCAGATTCTGAGTCCATATTCCTGTTTGGGGCCTGCTTAGTTTCTATGCCCTGCAGATTTGTCTATAAACCTGGACAGTACTTCACACTGAGAACTGTATAGCTCAGTTCTCAGACCTGTTGCTGTCTGACTCTTAAGCGGCATCTGCATACGGCTTGCTTTTCAGATTCAAGGAGTTCCTTTCTGCATTCTCCAACTCCTCCCTAGGAGGAGCAGCAGCATCTGGGTAGGAGCTGGAATTAGATGAGTGAGTCCCAGCTCCCCTTCATTTCTAGTCTGCTAATATGACCTATTGCTAGGCTGGACGTGAACATAACCTTCCATTCATTCCCACCTTTCTATCTTAATAGAAAAGAAGAAACAACTGAGCCAGGCTGCTCAGAGGCTTGGCCTCCGTAGTAACTATTTGGGGAACAAAAAAGATCAGGGCTTTATCATCCTCTACCAAGTGAGAGATAAAATTGGAAGAACCAGACAAGACCAAAGGTAGCCAAACTGGAGTTATACAACAACCATCCCTCCAGCAAACGGTGAAGATTTGGTAGGTAGGACGCTGTGGAAGCTAGGTTGAGGTGTGACTTACTTAGTGGTGTGGCTAGCATACAGAAGTCCTGGATTTGATTTCCAGAATGACATAATCCAGCCATGGTGGTAAATATCTATAATCTGAGCACTTGGGAGGTGGAAGCAGGAGGATCAGAAATTTAAGATCATCCTCAGCTACGTAGCAATTCTGAAGTCCACCTCAGTTCCATAAGACCTATCTTGACAAAAAGACACATCTAAGGGCCCTGCAGCTCCATCAGATTGACTCATGCTGACAAGTGGTGGTGAGAGCACAGGCCAAGGCACTAAGTCACATGCTGCCGTGGATCTGTATGGAAACACCTGCCCAATCTGCCCCCCTCAAGTCTACTCAGGGCGTTAGCTGTTATCTTCTGCAGTGTGGTCCCCAGGAAGTGCTTCACGTCTTGATGTCAACTCCAACATCTTCCAGAGGGGATATCTGCATTTTAGTTTGTGTTAGTCCTAGCCCTAAAAGATGAAGTGACCCATACCTACTCATAGAGGGTGAAGACATTTTTCTGAGTGGTTCTGGAAGCTGTCTCAGCAAGTATGTGTGGACTCAACAGAACTGCAAGTGTATGTAGTGGGTTCTCTCCGGAGCATAAAGAATGAGCAGATGGCCATCATCCTGGAAACTGCAGACGGGATTGTGGGCTGAATAAACCATTACAAATAGGACACATCTTGGAGGCTTTCTTCAGAACTGGACTAGAACCAAGGTTTCCAGGCTCCTGGCTCAGGAGACCAAGCCAGTATGCCTTGATGAATGTTTGCAGAGAACTGGGTGGTGACGTGTTTGAACCAAATGTGAGAAAAGCCAGAAGGAGCTGAGCTGGCCAGTGTGGGCCAGGTGGCCAGCTGTGGAAGATTGTTGACCCAGCAGCTGCTTGGCAGGACCTGCCCACTCGAGTATATTCCTTGTAAAGCCAAAATGCCGAATTACCTGCTTCTGCCTCATGTGTTGACACCCATTTCCAAAGATGATGGAGTACGTGTGAGCCAGGAGGAAGCTGAGGTGGTGGGTGATGTTTTGTCCCTCCCATCTCCTTCCATAGCCCAAGAGGTGCTGCTTCCCACTCAGACCCCATCTTGTCAGGCCTCCAGCTGCCCAGTGTAAACTGTCAATGCTTATACCAAATAGGGCATGTGCAGCTGGTGTCTTGTCAGGGACAGCCCAGTCCCTGCTTTGCCAGGGAGAAGCTGCAACACTTGTTCAGTGAATGGCTTAAAGGGCTGCTTGATAGAAGACCTTCATCCCACTCCTGTGGCATTCCAAGTTCCCGATGAGGCTACAAAGGCTCCATCCCTACAGAAAACTAATAATGTAAATAAAGAGCCAAGCTTGTAAGCATGGTTTGCAGAGGTAGGTGATGAATGTGAAGCCACCCGCAGGACACGTTTGAGTCTGGTTTTCCTGTGCTTTGTCATTTGACTCAATAGGAACTTTTGTTACTTAACTCTGTTCATAACTTATTTAATGTACTGTATAAATGAACCAAAACTGTTAAATACGTATTTAGTTTGTTCTACTTAAAGTAGTTAATAAAAATGCTATATTCCTTTTCTGACTCAAGCTGGACTAGGTCTGGGCAAGATAGTATATTGGTAACAGCGCATAGGGCACAGTGGCTTGGTGCGGGCTTTGGTATCATCACGTACCACACACATTCTCTCTTCCCTTCCCAACCCCAGGTCTTTGACAAAGAGCAGTGGGGCTGTGGACAAAAGAGCATGGGGTTGGGCAATCAGGAAGGGGCTCTAGCACATAAGTCTTTAAGGACTTGTAGTTAGATCCTTCCATGAGACAGCTACAGCCACCTTCTCTGTTCCAGGGAGGCCTAAGTGGCCATGCTGGTTGCACTTGAGTGTCAGTCATAGAGTACAGTGTACAGATATATTCTTGCTTCTCTACGCTCTTCTCCACTGAGGATTTTACTAAGAACATTAAGCCACGGAAGGGACTTAGGATGTATTTTTTCCTAGTAACTTTTGTTATTTACTTACAAAATTTCAGCCCGGACTTGTGAAATTTTTTATTTTTTCTGTCCTAGTGTTAATTCTTAATCTCACTGATAACTAATTTGTGGCAATACTTAACTAAGTCTCACTTGGCTTCATTGTTTGGTGTCAGGTGCCCTCTGGAGGACAAAACGGTGCCTGCTGCTTCTGCCTGAGTTAATTCCTCTCCAGGGTGATCCTCTAGCTGCTTTTGCTTTTTCTGGGCTTCAACCTTTTCTGAATCTGTCTCTGTCTCCCTGCCCACCCCCCTTCCTAGACAGGGTTTCTCTGTATAGCAGCCCAGCTCTCCTGGAACTTTGTAGAGCAGGCTGCCTCAAACTCAGAAATCTGCCTGCCTCCGCCTCCCAAGTGCTGGGACTAAAGGTGTGTACCACCACACCTGGTATTTCTGAGGCTCTCTCTATCTTATGAGTTCAGATGATGTTTTCTGGGTATATTAGGAAGTTCTAGAAGAACGTAAGATTCAGCCTTTTTCTTGTGCTGGATGTTGCTTGATATCCCCTTAACCTCAAGGCTTGGTTGGTCTTGGCACATTGTGGGACTGAGTAGAACCCTTTATCACTGTCCCTGCTTCTGTAGCTAGGATTCTGCCACCCAAGGATATGCATTTCCAAACTTGACAGCATTGATATCAGAGGTACCAGAGCCAAGATGTATCTGTCGCTCTTGTAACTCGGGGTGCTAGCAGTGCTTTTCCCCTGGATTGTGAGGGGGAATGTGGTCATGAGAGAGCCAAGCCATATTGTTGGTATTAGCTGTTGAATCAAAGATAACATAGCTACAGTTGTAGACCCATAGCAGTTAGGATGGGGTGGGAGAGCAGATAGATACCACTGGGAAAGGGAAATTAGAATAGTTATGGATGGATGGTGGAGAGGGGGTGGCTGGAACAGAAGGATCAAAGGGAGAGGGGGGGGGTAAAATTAAGAGCCATTTGAGCGGTGGTATGAACCTAATACAGTAGGAACTTTCTAAAATATATACATACACCAAAGTGATCTAAATAAAATCACCAAATAATGGAGACAGAACCCCAAATGGCTATCTCATAACCAAGTAAAACTTCCAGTACTGGGATTGTGTTGCATCTAATTGAGCTGTTGTCCAAAGGAGTCCCATGGGAATCTCCAAACCACCCAGGCTGTTGCCAAGACTACAGGTTGCCCTCCATAAATTGATGGCAAGGCTCCATTGCTGAAAATAACACCTACACAAATCATTCAACAGGGAGAAGTCGGAAATGATGGCTACATAGAGCCTTCACCCCTACTGTCAGTGCTAACATCTTTGATATAGCAAAGTACTCTGCATGCTAACAAAAGGAACATAAACAGCGAGTTGGCCAGCAATCCTTGATCTACAATGGTGTCTTACCTGCAAGATGTGCTAGGGCATTGGTGGCACAAAACTTGTAGCAGGTACCAACTAATACCTGACTTGACTTAAGGCCAACTCGACAAGATGAAACCCATATCCAGCATTACTTTGATGACCAAGAATCCAAGACTAGATAACACAGGGACCTAGAGTAAAACCAAATATTACTGTTCTAAAAAAAAAAAGCATCAACATGATTCCTAATGACCTTCTACTATACTCAAAGATCAGTGCCTTATTCAGCTATCATCAAGAGAAGCTGTGTCTTACAGCAGATGGGAACAAATGCAGAGACCCACAGGCAGACATTATGCAGAAAGTAAAACACCTTGGAACACTCAGCCCTAAACAGGATGTCTCCCCTCAGGGCTCAAAGAATCCCATGAAGAGAAGGTGGAAAGAGCACAAAGGCCAGAGGGATGGAGGACACCAGGAACTTAAGGAGTAAGTCAACTTGATCCAAGCTCGTATGAACTCAGAGGCAGCGGGCACAGGGCAGCGCCAGGTCCTCTGCGGGTCTGTTGTAGCTTCCAGTTTAGTTTTCATGGGATTCCCGAGCGTGTGCATGAGCAGGTGTCTGAGTCCTGGGCTTCTCCTGGGCTCGTTCCTGCTGTTTGTCCTGTCTTACTTCTGATGTGATAGTTTTTGTTTTGAGGCAGTTTCTCTGAAGCTTTGGAGCCTTTCATGGAACTCACTCTGTAGACCAGGCTGGCCTCGACTTAGGGAGATCCGCCTGTCTCTGCCCCCTGAATACTGGGATTAAAGGCGTGCGCCACTGCTGCCTAACTAGTTTTGTTTTCTAACAGTATGCAGAAAGGAAGTGGATCAGGAGGGGAGGGGAGGTGAAAGGAACTGGGAAGATTAGGAGGGGAAATAGTAATCAGTATATATTATGTGGGAAGGGCCTCCTTTCAATAAAAGGGGAGGAGGAGCTGGGGGTTGGGAGAGAGCCAAACAGGTATGGTGGCACGTGCCTCTAATCCCAGCACTTAGAAGTGACCACAGGAAGATTTAGAGTTCAAGCTTATAGTGAATTTGAGGCCAAACTGAGCTACATGAGATCCTGCCTCAAACCAGAGATTAGAGAGATGCTCTTCCAAAGTTCCTGAGTTCAATTCCTAGCACCCACATTGTGGCGCACAACTGTCAGGAACCACAGTTCTAGGGATCCGGTGCCCAGACACCAGGCATGTGGTGCACAGATATACATACAGAAAAAGACAGCAAAAACTATTTGGAGATGGCTCACTGATTCAGGGTACTGCTCTTGAAGAGGACCCAGGTTCAAGTCCCAGCACTGAGCTCACAAGCTCCATGAGAACCAAAGATTCTAGCTTCCAAGGGTACTTGCGCATACATAAAACACACATACAAACAATTAAATGTAAAAAAAAAATTCTTTGGGGCTAGAGGGCTGTTCCAGAAGACCTGAGTTGAGTTCCCAGGTCAGGCAGCTCACAGTCAGCCTGTAACTCCAGCATCAGGGGATCTGATGACCTCCTTCCTCCAGCACCTGACACACATGACAAACCCTCGCACACATGAATAAAAAGAAAATGTTTAGAGGATTTTAAGCCGGCCGTGGTGGTTATGAGGCAGAGGCAGGACTGCCACAAATTTAAGGTCAGTGTGGATCTACATAGCAAGTTCTCGGCCAGTAGGGTCTCCCTAGTAAGTCTGATTCAACCCCTTACTGCCCTAGCTCTGTCCAGGGTGCTGCTGTTAGAATGGCTGTTCTTACACTTTCTCCAGCCAGTGTGATTCCTTGAAGGTTCACCTGTCTTTAGCCCTCGACATGGAACCTACAGGATTTACTCAAGTAACATCTATTTCAAGAATGACTTTCCCAACTCTTGGGAGGCAAAGGCAGGTGGATTTCTGTGATTTTCAGCCTAACCAGGGCTACACAGTGAGACCTTGTTAAGAATGACATCTTGGCAACCCTACTTTACAATCCCCTTGTTTTCTCTTTACAAAGGCTGCATCAACAGAAGCTGGTGCACAAGGAGCTAAGGAGCTGTAAACAGTGGGCACTGTCTAGGTTGCTGCACCTGCCCTGACCTAAGCCAAGCCCCAGTAACAGGTGTCGGCAGTTCAGGAAGGTGGAGTGGCAGCTAGGTAAGGAGCCAGAACACTGGCTTCAGTACTCAGCCTGCCATCACCTGGTTACTAACATTTCATTGTCCCTAGTACCTATCACAGAGCATGTCTTAGCAGGCTCTGAGGGCAAGGGTATTAGAGGTGACTCTGAGTCCATGGCTTTGGCCTGCTACCGAAAGGCTGAGGCAGTGTCTCTCTGGACATCAGTGTGAGGCCAAGGAAGGGTGACTGAGGCTGGGCGTGGCCCGTCAGCCCACGTGTCATTTAAGGAAGAGGGGACCGCTTGAACTGGGAGTGGGAAAGGCCTTGAATATCAAACAAGGATATCAGCAGAAAAGGTTATAGGAGCCATTGAAGGTCTCGACTAAAGGGATGTGGTGAGCACAGGAGCGAGCATTGTGAGGCCCCTTCTGATGAAGCTGTGTGTCACTGTCCTGAGCTCTGTGCGATTGATGAAGATGCAGACAGAGATGAGGTGGGCTCTGGGAGTACACATCATAAAAGACCCCATGTGTCCCCACTACCCAAGCCTCACACTCCTACTGTTGAGACTCCAGATTCACAACTGCACATTTTGGACCTCGTTACTCCAAGACAGCATTGCAGCTGCCTGGGGCCTGGCCTTCAATACCTGCTCTTCACTTAGTCCCTTTTGTACCTGTCTGCAGCTCTTCTACCCCACCACCTCTCCATCCACTAAGGTCCCCTGCTTAAACTTGGAAAACTCAGGGCTGGAGAGATGGCTCAGTGCTTAAGAGCACTGTGTGCTCTTCCGGAGGACCCTGGTTCAATTCCCAGCACCAACATGGCAACTTACGACTGCCTGTAACTCCAGTACCCAGGGATCCCATACCCTCACACAGATGCATGCTGGCAAAACATCAGTGTACATAAAATAAAAATAAATAATTTAATTAAAAAAATAAACTTGGAAAACTCAAACCAAGTCACTCTCGTAGAGGACTCCCAGCAGGATAGATACTCCTCCCTAACAGCTTTGAACCTTCATCAAGGGAGCAAGCATACAAGTAGCTTATTAAATAAGAGTTGGACCTGGTAGCAGAGGC